TCCTGAAAGGTGTGCCTGCTGCTTCCTTGGTGACCCCTGCCGATGTCATCAAGACAAGACTGCAAGTGGCTGCCCGTGCTGGTCAAACAACATACAATGGAGTTATTGACTGCTTTGGAAAGATCCTTAGAGAAGAAGGGGCATCTGCTTTCTGGAAGGGAGCTGGAGGTGAGCAAGGGATTGTATGTGTTGTGTATCTCGAGAAAGGACTGTCCTTTTTGTTTACATATCCAAAGTTGGCCGGGTATGGATTTTGTAATGCTGTTTATTAGAAGTATTTTTTGTTAGTCTATTCACCTAAAAGGTACAGGATCCATCATTTTCTTGGAAGTCCCACTGCCTCAGTCTCAGAGCATGGGACAGGCGCATGCACACACGTGCACACACCCCTTCCAAATATAAATTTTAAATTGCTTCCTTCCCTGTGGGATGGATGTGGCCTTCAGGGCTGTGTTGTTTGGTAGGCCCCATGCTGGCCTTTTTCTAGAGGATGCCATTTTGTCTGCCAATAAAATGCATTAAAGACTGAGTTCAATAGCAATAAAATGCAGGTTAACTACAGGTGGCGTGGCAACCCTCTAGACCACTGAAAGGGATTCCTAGAGTATTTCTGTGTTCAATGTATTGTCGAAGGCTTTCATGGCTGGAATCACTGGGTTGTGGACATGGACAATTTCAACAGAAAGGAAGAAACCAGGAAAACGAACAAAATTTGGCTACCAGTATTTTAAAAAACCTCTAAAATCATAACAGTAAATAAAGAACAACACTCAAAAACAGGGGAACAAAAAACAATCAGGGACAGCTAATCACCTCTCAACAAATGATTCCTCCAGGCAGTAAGAAGCCACACCATGAATCTGCTAGGCCATTAAATGCTAATCAAGTGGCCAATTGAAACTTTCACACCTACCTCATACAGCCAGGAGTTCTTTGTTCCACCCTGGACATTCCACAGATATATAAACCCCATTTTTCCTAGTTTTCAACAGACCTCACAACCTCTGATGATGCCTGCCATAGATGCAGGTGAAACAAAAGGAGAGAATGCTTCTGGAACATGGCCATACAGTCTGAAAAACTTACAACAACCCACTGTTTCTGTGGTGATGCTGTAGCCAACTTTCATTTTTTTCTTCCTCTGAAATAGTCTTTGTATCTATATACTGCCCTTTGGTGATTGTACCTGAGTCCTGTACATTTTTACTCAGTTTTGGGGCCCTAGTCCCAAAAGGGAGGAGGGTTTGACACACCACCAGTAATTTAAGTTGGACCATGAAGCATTTGTGGATCGTTTAGTCCAGATCTATCAAGCCTTTGAGACACAAACCCACACATATTTTCACTTGTATATATATCATAAAATAATGTAAGAGTAGCAGGCCAAGCTCTGGGGCCCTTTCTATTGCGGGTAACCTTTAGCAACTACTCAACTGTTGCAACATAACCACTGTACTCATTTTCTCCCAATAGCACGGGTGTTCAGATCCTCACCCCAGTTTGGTGTTACTCTGGTGACATATGAACTTCTGCAGCGTTGGCTCTATGTTGATTTTGGAGGCATGTAAGTACAATTCAGATTATCTTCTAAATCTTGGTCAAGGACCCAAACATGAACTTTCTTACTAAGGGAAGCGCCTGATGTATTTCTGTAAATTTGTGAAACTTGCTGTAGAAAGTGGAGTAGTGTAATATTCTGACCTTTTACATTCCTTACAATTCCATCTGCTGTATGTTGAGGTATTTATTTGCTGGCATTAAAGACTTAAGTTGTCCCAGTGTTTAAGCAAAAAAAAAACTCCCAAAGGCGTATCTTTAATGGCTAGGTAACAGTTCCCCAATTGCAACTGCTTGGATCTAATGGTTGCAATTGCCAGCAGCACTCTTCTAATGCTCCTATTGGGAGAAAAAGGTGACTTTGACCAGTTATCTCAGTTCCCATCAGCACATGGTTGCAGTGGATTCTCCTGGGTCTCCAGAGTGGATTTCCAGGGTGTTTATCTAGGGGGATCAAGTGGAAATTGTTTTCTACCTAGTTCCACCAAAAAAACTACTCCACTGGATCAAAGCCTTCCATGAATGCAAGGAACCCTTTTGTTTATAGTAGGCAAGGTCTTGATCCCAGCCTTTGGAAATGTAAAGGCCCGTGAAAGCATTTTTATTAGTGCATACATACAAAATTATTTTAAGCAATATTCCTTGTAGTTTTATCTCTCAATTACAATTAGAGGCTATTTAGGGACCATGAAAATCCCTCAATCTCTACTTACCATGAAACAGCTGCCCTGATTGATGGGTTAAAGGTCCCACTCCCCTTTACATAAGCAACAAACATCTTCAGAGTGAGATGTACACACATATGTACATCCAGTATTCTGGCCATGGTTCTTAAAGCAGGCCAGCAAGGAGGATGACTTCCACTCACAACAGATTATGTTCATTGTTGAATCTGAGGGTCATGAGCATCTCAATTAGCAACTGTATTAATGGGCAGAAATCCTTTGGGGGATGCTTAAAGGGGGAGCATCAGGTAGAGTTGGGTTTGTTGCTGTTCTCCACTGATACTGGCAATCTCTGATCTCTCTTCATTTTCTGATTGTCTCCCACTAGCAAACCCTCTGGCTCAGAACATCCACCTAAGACTCGAATCTCCGACCTTCCTCCTGTTAATCCTGACCACATAGGTGGCTATCGACTAGCTACGGCTACTTTTGCTGGGATAGAGAACAAGTTTGGCCTTTCTCTGCCAAAGTTTCGGGCAAGTGTCGCTCCAGCACAACCCAAAGCAACAGCTTGAATCCTAAGCTGATCTTCCAAACCAGATAACAATGGTGCAATGGACAGATAGTACTCTGCTCTTCCAGCCAGCTGCATGATGCTCTAGCTGAATGGAGAGTTGATGCTGAATCACTCCTTTCTATACAAAACACAGGTAATCATTTGCACATAGGAGACTGATTCACGCTTTACATTCTATGCATAGACCTCTCCTCCCATCCCAAAGGCATGAATTAGTAACCAAGGTTTGGCTTTGCACAGCTTGCACTCCATGTGACTGTACATATTGTACATCTTTGTACAGAGGCGTACATCATGGCGTTGAAATGCAACTACATTTGTAGAAAAAAAGATTGCAGTTCTAAAGAGTTTGAAATGTACAGACTGTTTTGAAAGTGTTTTATTAAAAATCATGTGACAATAAAATGTATTTAAAACCAATATACGGAAGCTGATTTTTCTTCATGTTGCTTGTTATGAAGCAATGCTGAGCCTATCTTCCACAGCTTTGCCAATCATGTATGGAAGAGCAGCTTTCTGCAAGTCCAGAGAGCCGTGTGGCCAGAGGCCAGCTGGGGGTAAGCCAAGATATGAAACAGCACTGCAGGCAAGCAAGAAGCAGCAATGCGTGTGCTTTCCATGTTATTAATTAGGACAAAGGGTATTGTTGAAGGCTTTCACAGCCAGAATCACTGGGGTGTTGTGTGGCTTTGAGGCTGTATGGCTGTGTTCTAGCAGCATTTTCTCCTGACATTTCACCTGCATTTGTGGCTGGCATCTTCAGAGGATCCTGAAAATGGCCATACAGCCCTGAAACCACGCAACACCCCAATTATAACAAACTTAAGTTGGATAATTGAGCACAACAAAGATTTTCAAATTCAAATCAGCCTGTGCCTGTAGATCAAGGGTCCTCAAACTAAGGCTCATGGGCTGGATGTGGCCCTCCAAGGTCATTTATCTGGCCCCTGCCCTAAACTTTAGATGTAGGTTTGCCCTAAGTCTGAAATTACTCGAAGGCAGACAGTAAGTCAACTAATTAAGTTGACTAATTCATCATCCAAAAGTAGGCCCACACTTCCCATTGAAACATGAATAAGTTTATGTTGGTGAAAATTGTTCTTCATTTTAAATATTGTTTTGTCTTTCATTGCTTTTTTTTTTTTGCATTGTAGATAAGATATGTGTAGTGTGTATAGGAATCAGTTCATTTTTCCCCCAAACTATAGTTCAGCCCCGCAACAGTATGAGGAACCATGAACCGCCCCTCAATTAAAAAGTTTGAAAACCCCTACTGTAGAACATAAAAAACGCCTCTGAATCACTCTTAAGGGAATGGGGAGGCCACACCATCTGATTCCTGGTGAGTAACCTGTACTTGGGACAAGACGAAATATGGAGAAACAGAATGGTTTCCAATCGCAAGGGCAACAGACAAGGCTGCATATTATCACTCTGTTTAACTTGCATGATGAACATATAGTTTATAAAGCAGGATTAGGCTCAGAGGAAAGAGAAGTGAAAATTGGAGCAGCAAGGATTTAAAATACGCAGATAACACCATGTTACTAGCGGGAAATAGGAAAACCTTGGAACAATTACTGTAGAAAGTCAAGGAGGAAACTGCAAATGCAGATAGACAGATAGATAGATAGATAGATAGATAGATAGATAGATAGATAGATAGATATGACAGCAGATTATATACATAACTTTACAATAGATGATGAAGAGACTGAAATAATTCAAGATATTATGCCCTGATAGGGTTACCATTACATCAACGTCAACTTGATGTGTTGGTTGCTAACAATGAATGGCTATGACACATAACTTTGAAAAGGTTTTATGTATAATCCATGGTGATAAGAAATTGCAAAGTATATTGCCCTATACCAGCACCCTTAGAAATGGTGTGCATTTTCTATATCAATGACAAGAACATGTTCTGTCTTTAACATCTGCATATGTACAGACTTTTGGTGAAGGGCTGCTTTGTGAACATATTTTTTCATATTTGGCAAAACAATTAAATAATTAGCTTTATTAAGCAAATGTAGTAATTTCTCCAGAAACCTAGAATTCAGACACCAATCCCACAATACACATTTTATTATATGCACGAAATACAAACTGCATTTTAAAAGTGATTCTATAAGTTTTCCTTTCTATTAAACTACGAGCAACGCCACCTTTCAAAAAAGGAGTCTTTGCAAAGACACTTGTGAGAAAAGGTCATGTACTGTTTATTTATAAAGAATTAGTACCATACTGCACAGATTTAACAAAAAAAAATGGAAGCAAGTGTTTTAGAAAGTTTCTGCTGCTTTAAAAAAGGGGGTTTACAGAGTGTGTATTCATATACATGACCCACCACTGTAGCCTGGAGCCTATTGTGTAATAATTAGGATAAAGGTTACTGTGAACAGATGCATGCACAAATCTAAGTTTTTCTATATCAGTTCCCCTCTTCTCTCAGCTGTTCATAGTCTATCAAATGCAATTGGGGAAGGATCCCATTCAGAAACTTATATAACTTAATTGTTTAGAAATTGTTATATGCTGCTGCAAGTTGGACAACCTAAGTAACTGTATATTATGTGGTTAGTGTTTCAATATACTCCTTGCCAAGTCAGAGTAAATAATAAATTACAATGATCGTATTAAGAATGTGATTTAGCTAGAGAAAGCAACTTTTGCAAGATCTGTCTCGGTGATCTTCATACATTTGCCAGAGCCACAGTTTTTTCCACATCTTCAAGTTCTGTTGCCAATTAATACATACTACTACTCTCAAGCCCTCTTCAACCCATTTCCAAATAACTGCTAGACCACATCTTAAAGACCTAAGAAGGAATTCGGGTTGCTGCTTCCTCTTCTGCATCCGCTCTGTTTGCATTAATCTCTGCCAATGTCCGACCAAACCGTGTCCATTCATCACTACGTGGAACAGCAATTTGCTGTGGACAAAAAATTAAGATGGGAGGCATTAATGAAAGCAGGGTTGCTTACCTGTAACGTGGTTTCTTTGGGTGCTCCTCTGTGGAATCTGCACATATGATATTGCTTGGGTGCAATCTATATCATATGTGTGGATTCCACAGATACCATAAAGTAGAAACATATTTCTTTCAGCTGAAAACTTAGTGTCTTAAAATCAAGGTGTGAAATGCAAGGGGACTATGCATATTATTATGTGAACTCTTGTGTGCACAAGCAAAACATAGAAAACCATAGGAAGCCATAAACAGCTCTTAAGAGGCTATACAAATGGAAAACCATCTGCAAGTGTGCATGATATCTCAATGCTTTTATTGAGCTAGATTAAGTTCATTAAAAAAGGGGAACTTCATTGTCCAGAATAGGTTGTAGTTCATTGGTGACAGAATCATAGAATTGGAAGAGACCTCATGGACCATCCAGTCCAATCCCCTGCCAAGAAGCAGGAAAATCACATTCAAAGCACCTCTGACAGATGGCCATCTAGACTCTGCTTAAAAACCTCCAAAGAAGAAGCCTCCACCACACCCTAAGGCAGAGAGTTCCACTGCTAAACAGCTCTCACAGTTAGGAAGTTCTTCCTAATGTTTAGGTGGAATCTCCTTTCCTGTAGTTTGAAGCCACTGTTCTGCGTCCTAGTCTCCAGGGCAGCCAAAAAACAAGCCTGCTCTCCCGTCCCTATGACTTCCCCTCCCATATTTATACATGGCCCTCATCATGTCTCCTCTCAGCCTTCTCTTCTGCATGTTAAACATGCCCAGCTCTTTAATCCGCTCCTCATAGGGCTTGTTTTCCAGACTCTTGATCATTTTAGTTGCTCTTCTCTGAACACATTCCAGCTTGTCATTCCAGCTTGATACATCTGATTGGTCTCAAATGGGAACAATATGTGACCACTAGTGGGATTCTGCAATTTCTTGTCTTCAGACTGTTTTGTAATATATTAATCCTGGATACAAGTCTTGCCTTGTTCATTTGTTGTTGCTGTTTACTGCAAAAGATGGATACTGTAGCTTGAGGAATGCTTGTTGTAATTCCACGAGTTTGGCATTCCTGTCTTGTGGGTCTTAGTTTTAGCTGTATATTATGGATTTGGTATTGTATTCAGAGTAGAAACTGAATGAATGTAAGTATGTGTAGTGGTCAGTGGGCTTGCAATACCAAGTGGTGCTCAGAAATCTGTTGTGCAGCTTTATGGCCATGCCAAGAAAGTGGGCCTGTTTAGCTACAGGCTGAGTCTGAAGGTAGAGTGAATTTTCTTGAAAGAGCGAGTCCTCTCAATAGGTTGAAAATTATGAAGATATCATCAATTTATTTCAAGTAGAGGTCTCTTGGTGCAAGAGTTAAGGAAGCGTTCTAGTTCAGCCATGAATATGTTTGAATATTGTGGTGTCATGCACATGCCCACAGCACTCCCGTTAACCTGCTAATATTATGCTATTACCAAAAGTAAAGTAGTTGTGTGTGAAGAGTGGCAATTGGTGGTTAGGACTTCTATACTCCTGTTTGGAATTATGCTTCTGATATCTTATAATCCATCTCTGAGTTAGATGTTGGTATACAGCAGGCATGGGCAAACTTCAGCCCTCCAGAAGTTTTGGACTTCAACTCCCACAATTTCTAACAGCCAGTAGACTGTTAGGAATTGGAGACCAAAACACTTGGAGGGCTGAAGTTTGCCCGTGCCTGCTATATAGGGATTCCATAATGGAATATTAACAGCTGGGATCCCTGATTATAAAGCCTGCTAATTTCTGTCATCTAACTTCTTCATCTGAGGCAGGGATGGACAGGAATGCTATCAAAATACTGAATGCACTTAAACAAATAAAATATTAAACATCAGGGTGCTAAATTACTTAACAATAGAATAATCTCAAGTTGTGTATGCACACTGAATAGACAAAGGGAAAACAAAGAGGAATTAAGTCCTTTTCACTCTTTGAACAAATCATTTAGGTTTTAATTTTGTTAAGACTCAGAAGAGAGTTACTTACCTCCCCAACATCGTAAATTACTATTTGTCCTTCTGAGTCTCCCACAGCAATCTCACGGCCTGAGTTTGTCCATCTTACACGATTAAGGGCAGGATTACCTTCCACAGTAATACTTGCTGTTGGCACCTGTAACCAGTTTCAAAAAACAGGACCCTTTTACAGCCTCAACAGGATTTATGCAATCTTCATTTTTATTCAAGTCTGCCAGCTGCCCCTTATGCTAATAAAAAATACAAGAGAGCAGACTTTGAAAGCTCTAAAATCTCCAAGACAGGATGGATGTTGGTAAGGACAGGAGGTTTCAGTTACTATGTTCTCCTTACTTTGGATAAAATCCCCCTGAATTTGAAGTACATTGAAAGTTTGACTTTATTAACATTCATTCTCGCCCCATCATCACTACATATACATAAACACACACAGCTTCCTAGATAGTATCGTAGATATTTTGCTCAACAGTATTAGCAAGCATACCTAATATGTGGTGCTTTAAAGCACCCAGCAAGAGGGCCATGTCTAGTTTTGTACAGTATGTAGCATTCTTTTTTATTATTATAAAAGGAACGCCAATGTGTTGGGATCAATGTGTTGATCCCTGTTGTAACAAGAAATATGTCAGCTCTCCATTAGGATAGTGTGCTGAGTTGCTTGCAAAGCATGCAGAACCTATTGTCACTCAGGAGGCAAATTACAGAAAGAAGATCGATGTAGGAGACTGACCTTATTCAATACTGAGGCAGACAAAGAAGACCTGGGGGATAATGTGTGCTACCATTTCTTTCTTTGGCATTTCAACATATTACGATGATGAGGCAGCTACACTCCCAGGTTGGTGCACTAGGCAAGAATTATTCACACATTGCTATTGCACTTTATCTCTGAGATAAATTGTGTGGGAAATCAAAAAACTTGAGACAAACTTTCAGGGTTTTGTTGTGTGTTTTTTTGGGGGGGGGGGGGTAAGCAGCACAAGTTCACTTCTTTTTGAGCATATATTTGAAGGTACTTAAATGACCTGTCAACTTCAGAAGACTGGACTGTGCCTTATTACCTCAGTATCATTGTTGAGATTCCACAAGTCAAGCCTTCCCATTCCATCCACACAGGCAAAAAGGGCAGGGTGCGTGGGGGACCACATCACATCATAGACATAGTCAGAGTTGTCTTCAAAGGAGTACAGAGGCTTATTGTTCTGAAAGAAGAAAAACCACTCAACACTGGAAGAACTCATGATTCTCAAAATAAAAGGTATATGATTAACACAACCCCTGCCCACACTATCAATAACCACTTAAACAAAGGACTTCATTTTAAGCACAGCAACTGAAAGACTTTGTATTGTTTCTTCTACACTAACGGGGAAGTGTTTCCCCCCACCAAGAAAACCCTGTGGCAAAACGTTATGCAAAGAGAAAACAACTTCCATTCTTTTCTATTTAGTCCTCAAGATTGTGGAGAAAATCCTGGGACTGTGCCTAGTGCACACTTCAAGTCACTTCTGACTTACGGTAGCCCCAGGACAAATCATGAGGTTTTCTTGGTAAGATTTGCTCAGAGTGAGGTTAAATAATAATAACAATAATAACAACAACATCACACAGTCCTAGACGAAGTGTTCGACTTGTGATTTTATTATACGAAATCCAGCAAATAGATCTCATTTGCTGTGACATACTGTGTTTTTGTGTCAGTAAAATAATAATAATAATAATAATAATAATAATAATAATAATCTTTATTTATAACCCACAATATCTTCCCAAGGGGACTCAGGGCAGCTTTTCAACAATATAAAACGCAATGGCAAACATTCAATGCCAGTGAAAAATATAACAAATCAGAAAAACAGCTTACATAAACATGACATAATACATTTAACATATTAAATCCATTAAAAACTCTTTTAAGAAGAGGCTGAGACAGCGAGTGTGTGTGACTTGCCCTCAACATTTGAACATTGGCCTCTAGAGTCATGGTCCTACATTCAAACAACTGGACCATGTTGGTTCTCTAGTGTACACTCCACACTAACGATTCCAAAATAAGAATAAGAAGTCAACATATTCACTAATTTAGATTGTATTAGTATATCTAGGACGTGATTGTAGATAAACATCTGAAGTTCCTGTTACCTTAGTTGTCCAAAGCTTTACGGTCCAATCAAAAGAAGAAGTAACAAAAAGATGGGAAAAGTCCACGGGTCCAACGGCTGCATGGCAATTGATCCCAGTGATTGGCCCTTGGTGACCCTCAAACATCTCACTGATTCCAGCTTTGCTGTTTGGAGGACACATACACACAGGTAATGGAGTTTACTTTGAAAGAAAAATATCCATATACAATTCTAGGCAAATGTTTTTTAAGTATATAGGAATAGAAACTTACTAACAGACATGTATTTGTTTCATTAAAAATCCTATGTGCAGAAGGGCTCAAGAAGTCGAGGCATAGTGGATCTGAATAAAGCATTGTGTGTCAGCAAAGAAAACTTGTGTATGAGAAAAAGATGCCATCACAGGATAAAAAAAATAGTGTTTAGGAAGTGCTATGCCATCTGATTAACAGCATTTTTTTTTCAAACCTGAGCTTAGTATTTGGATCACAAAGATTAACCCGTTATTGTCTCTTCCATAGATATGCACTGTTCCTAAGGCAATTTTCAGTCTGAAATCAAGGACACTATATCCCCAATAATATCAGTACTGATTAAATGGAAGAACCACCAATTTTAGTTAGTTTTAACCCAAGATGATATATACAGAGAGCAAGGGTTGATGTGTGTGTGATTTGGGACTAGGGCTTCAATTTCATTTAAGAAAGCAATTGATAAGATACAGCCAGACAATTTCAAAACAGATTGAACAGCAGGAGACATGCTGCCCAATTTAAGATTGGTGCGTGATGGTACTGTACAATTATCTGCAGAAGAGTGAGTTTGGGATGCTCTGTCACAATTCAAATGGCCAGAAGGAGGGTTAATCACCATTTTCCATGCTTACATTCAAAAGCCATTGATATCCCAGAAGAGACAAATATAGAAAGTAGTCAGAATTTTTTGGAAATTGAAGGAACACTCTTACTTTTATACTTTTCCTTTTAGAGAAGTACAGCTACCCATACAACCACCAGTGAGCAAATAGAGACTAACTATCGGAGTTGTTTTACAGAACCAGTTGAAGAGTAACTATCTGCTTTAAAAAAAAAATGGGACCCCAGTTTCTATTCACCTGCCGTGGCGACATGCTGTGTACACGGAGCCTTCCTCACTTCCCACAACAAAGTTGTTCACATCTCCAACGGGGAAAGACATACAAGTGACAGCTACAGCCTTGGATTGCTTATGAACTAGCTCCATGCTATCCTGGGGAAAGAGAGGCCACAGACACGTTTCTTTTCCAGATTGTCAATAAAGCTTTGCCAAAAATAAAGTAGGGTTGCTGATACCATTTTCATTTTCAAATCTTGCTTCATTGTCATTTTGAAGTTTAAACTCTATGTTACCATACAAATACAGGAATCATATGAAATCAGTGGTTTGTTTTCTAGGATATATGATCTATGCTTCCTACCTGTATTTCATAAAATCTCTCAATAAGACTATCTACACTATATATTCCTATCCTGCTCCTCCAAAGAATTCAGGACAGTGCGCAAGGATTTTATGCTCACAACTATCTCGTGAAACAGGTTAAGTGGAGAAGTAGTGACTTTCCAAAAGCACCTTGGGTGCACACTCAAGTATTCTCGATTCAAGTCTAACATTGTTTTATTACTCTGTCCTGACTCTCAAGATCCAGAAAAAATATTTCTAAATACATAGGATTTAGGTTATAAGACATTATTCACTGTCATAACATACAAAGTTATGAAGAAAAACATGGTAAAACTGTCATCTACTATGAAATTATTATTGTGCCTGAATGTTTCAGTCTGTATATATTAAAGATGACAGATGACATAACTACTATAGTGATAGGCAATTGGTATTTTACCTGTGGCTGTGAAAGCATATCCAGACTCCATGAACAGATTTTTCCATCAGTTGAGATGCTGATAAGGTTATGGGCATTCTGTGTCCCCACCACATTCACACAGTACACAGGATGCTAAAGCAATGTAACAGATAATAATATTTCTCAGAATACCTTACAGATACTGAAAAGCATAACATTGATGGCCATTCATGCTAAAGGTGGAAAGGGACAAATTGTTTTAAGCAGAAGCTAGATGGCCATCTGTCAGGGATGCTTTGATTGTGCTTTTTCCTGCATGGATTGGATGGCCATGGGGTCTCTTCCAATTCTATGGCTCCATGAATCCAAACCCACTGCTTGTCAGAGTAGAGCAACTGGTTTGCACTAGGAGTTAGAAATCTACCTACAAATTGCCCAGATCTGTTGCAGTATTCAAAACATGGTTGAAGAGTGCAAAAGGCAGTGGAGTTACAGGTGCTACCAAGGGATACTTGAAGTATGTCCCCCCCACACTGGGGAGAGCAAAAAGGAAAGGGCTAAGAACAAGAGAAGGGTCATGATAACAAAGGAGGAATAGACAATTAATTAAAAAGGGACAAACACGGATGAGAGCAGAAAGATGTGCTCCAATCATTTAAAAACATGAAATGCTCATCAGTGTTCCCCTAAAGCTCAGTGACTAGCTGAGAGAGCTACTTGAACAGACAAGATGTGTTGAACACATAATTGGCTAACGTCCACACTTGATGTTTCTCAAGAAAAAAAGAAAAAAATACATTTTAGTAAGAGAAGTGGGTACAAATGGACAGCTACAGATATGATTTCTAATCCAACAAGGAGTATTTGGAAGCCAGGGGCAACACAAATGAAATACAGAAGGACTGAAAAATGTAAAGTGGCAAAATTGTCTGCGGGGGAGAAAAGTTAGACAGAAAAGGATCTGAATAACCAAATAGCTTTAAAAAATAAATTTGAGAATATGTGATTCTTACAATAAAGCACTGTAATGCACCCTGCAATTAAAATAACAACAGAAATGCATCTCCTGTAACTATCCAAACTATCCCAAGTCTCTGGTAAACATTACCCTACATTAATCAGTTAATTCATGCACAATCCAGATATTCCAACTCCTACCGTGTGAGCAGCAGCTGAAAGGGGAGTTCTCTGAACTGGGGTTCGCTTGTTGCTGCGGTTATCCCATAGCACAATCTGTCCTGAGTATGTGCCACCAACAACCAAATTTGGATGAAATTTTGCAAATGTAGCAGACATCACAGCTGACTGAAAAAGAAGAGTGGAGAGAATATAAGAGTCATTTTCAATATTTTCTCCTAGAAATGTTAAATAATTTATTGGATGAAACAGTTCAGACACATTTAAAAGATTGCTGGAATGTTCTAAACTATTCAGTGTTGAAGTATATCATTATATATTTTTGCAGTATAAGTTAAAAAATCAAAATTATGATAATTTGCAAAATGCAACAGAAAAAAACTTGGTCGTTTTTACTTCACATTAACTGCTTCTATAACGAGATTTCATTTTAGCTTAAACATGCGTTTCAACTTTCGTATAAATCCTCAGGCTGTGTGCATTTTTATTCAGAGGTCTTTGGTCTTTTGAATTTTTTTAACATTTTAAAAACATATACCTGAAAAGCTTCCCTGTATATTCAAACTAGGTTTTATTTTTTATCTAGCCAGAGTAGGAAATACAGGAGTGCAGTAATATGTTTAAACAATCCAAATAATGTTAGAAAGACTGTTACAGATGAACCTTTAAAAAGATTAATAGATTCTTCAGATGTCAACACATGTTTGCAAACATATGCAGTTTAAAGTTCATGCCTGCCCCATATAATCATTAAGTTGACAAGCAAAAGAAGGCTCTTGTCTACATGCATCAACATAAAACCCTTAGAGTAGCAAGACAAGAATCTGAATCCTACCTGGCAGTGAAAGACATATTCTGGAGTTGTTTTTTTGTATTTCATATTCCACACAAGGGCCACGCCATCAGGTTCATGAGGGGCATCTTCATTGTTATTGTAGGATGCCACTAGCAACTCCGGGTACTGAATGCAAAAAGAAATTGAGCAGAAAAGGCAACATTATCTACAAGTTATACAAAATATGAAGCACTCCAACAAGTCAAAAATACTTCTGAAGTCAGTTCTATTTCCAAGAAATATTACTTTACAGGTATAGCTACAAAGGCAACCCCAATATTTAATCAAAATGTGAATACATACAAGACAGGAACAGGTTGCTTTAATTTTGCAATTTATATTATCTTAGGACAGCACTTCTGTATAATGCCTTCTGCACATTCTTTCTTCCAGTGCAGAGAATTATGTAGCATACATTCAATATACACCACTACAATCTGTCTCAGCAAATAAATCCAGATAATGTCTGTTGAAACGTTCTGTCAGAAAAGATTTTAGTCTTGTTACCTGAGATGACCAATCCAAGCAACTAACAACACGATGCTTTGACCAGCGCTCATCAAAAAACTGCCTGTTTAAGGACAGCTTAGCACCTGCCTGAATTTCTCTGAAAGAACAATTAAAGAGGGTGGACCTGGGATCAGTTTCAATTCGATTAAAGTGAATACAGCATTACCTTTTAGAGATTCCTATCTTACCCTTCTTTCTCTTCTAAGTCTCGCCCACTGTAGTCAAAGAAAATGTTAATTTGCTCAGAAAGAGCTCTTTCTACAATCCTGGTAGAATGGTCAAAGAAGCTCAAAAATTCTTCAGAATGCAAAATTTGTTGCTTTTCTTCTTCTGTCAGTTCATGAGGGGCAGCTTAGGGAGGAAAAAATATTCGGACATTTATTTTTAAGTGAATACATTTATCCTAAAGATCAGAGAGATTTTAGGTGCAGATTTAGATCTCAAACAGTGATTATGGCCATGCAGCTTTAAAAGTTACTGCCCATTATATTTAAATATGTTTACTACCCATTATATTTAAACATTTTAAAATTATTTAAACCCTATTCATAGCTTTACACATATTGGAGAGAAAGATGCAAGATGCAAAATAAAACTTTAAGAACAAGAACACAGTTTAATTTGAATTCATACCTTCTTCTTCCTCCTCTTTTTTCAAAGTTTTTTCTTCTTCAGGTTCGACCGGTGGCTTTTGTACCACTACATCATCTTCATCATCCTCATCTGAAAACAGGAAACTTCTCAATATATTTCCAACCATCACACAGCTGTATTTCAGACATAACGTATTTCAAGAACTTCAAGTAACAGATGTGCCCACCCAGTATTTGTGTCATCTAAAGAATCTCTCCTGCAAGAACTGAACAGTTAAAAATAGAGAACTACACTTATTAAATAATGTGACAATAAGCCAGACAAACAGCAAGTAAGTCATATCACAGTTTTTGTAAAGGTAGGTCTCATAGGTCTATTATAAAACCTCTCAAGCATCATTTTAGGCATTTTCCTTTGAAATTCCATACTTCTATTCAGCATTTGTCATTCCAGACAGAAGATACAGCCATGCAGTTTGATGGCATGCTGATAAATTAATGCTGCTGAGTAAAGAAAATCAAGCATTTGAAGTAGCCCACAGAGCTGGAGCTCACTTGTGATACAGCACCATCAGTGTTTAATGGCTTTTCATAGAGGAAAGATGGCTTACATTAGTTTTCAGGGTACTAGCTGGAGAGGCAGAATTTGCCCAAGGTAATGGAAGAGATTATACTTCCTTTTCTGTCATTCTAAATGCAAGCCTCATTATCCTTCTCATGTTTGCCAATGAGGATTCAAAGAGCAGAATATATCTTCCTTAATTACAACAAATAATGTGAAATGCTGGTGCTTCTGAATACTGAGGAAATTTACAGCATTTGCCATTGGTTTTATCAAATGAATAATACAATGAAAAAACGTCAACAACTGCTTAATGTTACAGAATAAGCATTTCTGCCATTTCATTTTGTTCTGCTTCTTAGAAGAAGAAAAGACTATCTCTTCTTTAAAATGGTTAACCAGCTATGTCATCTGTCTCCAAGAGAACAGCAGAAGGAGCCTGCAGCCTGCCTTATCACAAGTAATGAGACAGGCTTCAACAGGGACATGTTTGTTGCAGTCATCCTCTCCTGACCCTGCGCTCAAAGTCACCTATGAGAAAAAAGCAGCCTAAGACTGGTCAAGAGATGGGAACCAGCTGCCAAGCCATGGTCCCAGCAGCCAGGCCAGCTGACTAGACAGCGGCAACCAGATGGTACTGCTGGGATTGTCTCTCCCTGCTCTGAGGTGGCAATGGGATGGGCACCGCATTTTTCTGCCTGACTGCTTCCAATCATGTTTTTTCTCCAATGGCAAGCCTGTGCAATTACGAGCTCTCCAGGAGGTCCACAGACAAGCCTTTACGCTGCAAACAAAAATACAGCTTGTAGGCCCTACCAGCTGCCAAACCACACACATAGTGATAGGCTGGAGTGAGATCTGGGGGAAAAAAAATCTTTCTAAGTCCCGTTTAGTCAATAAAAATATATATCTGTACCTGAAGGAACAAATGCTTTAAATGACACTATATAATGCACACAATAATATAAACTCCAACTTAATCAAAATGATAATGATGTGTGCCAATCCCACATTATATGAAATTGAGCGATTTTTACGTTCTGACAAGTTTACAGAACTGGGATAAATGGCATGAATGATTTCAATATATGCTCATACTTCTGAACCAAATGGTGAAGGTTAAAATCTTTCCTTTCAAGGGCCTCAATCAGCCACAAAGGAAAACAGTAATCACTGTCTTTTCAGCCAGCCCAACCGCATTTGTCAGCCCTTTCTCCGTCAATGCAGCCAGAGCAATCAACCTGCCAAACATTCAGAATGGAAAAACAATCTGAAAATACAGGGTATAATGCACCTGCCAGTGAAAATGGCCATTTCAAGAAAAGCTAGTGATCTCAGTGACCCTGCTGAGGAGGCGGTGGTGCAAAGGGGAAAGAACGCGTAAAAGAATTCTTCGTGATCTCCACTCTCTTGCACATTGACATTTCCTTACAAAGCATGCCAATTATGGCTTTTGTGCTACTTAAAAAATGAAAGCTTTTTGGGGCAAAATAATCACACAGAGAAACAGAAAGACGCTGCTCCTTTTTAGATGAATTTGTACATACAATGGACTATTAATCAGAAAACTGGGAAACGGAGCGATTCTATGCTGTGTGCCCCAAACAAGAGACTGGATTTCCCCCCAAGCACTGGGGTAAGGAAAATTGATAAATGCTTAATTTTAATTTAATAGATGAGACACCGTGAATAGCAAATTACAAGACAATGACTAGATTAAAGAACTGAGTTGAATTACATGTGGACTGTTCTTTGGATGCAGACATGATGCAGCAAACAATGCCACAGAGACTTCAAATAATGCATTTCCCATGTCCTTTACTTTGCTTCAAGCACAAATGCCATAAAATTAAAAATTCCAGCCTCCCAGCTCTGCCATGCCACTTTGGTTCTAAGTACCATTTTCGGTGACAGAAGTCAAATCCTTGTCAAATGCAGATGGTCAGCCCTTTAATGTCTAAGCGACCTCATCATCTACATATATTACAGAAAAGAGGTCTTGAAGTCAGTTGCCCCCCTCTTTTTATATTTTTCATGCAGATGGCACATATTATGCAAACAAGATCCCAATTCCTTTTCATGCTATACTCTTTGTTTACTGTCAGTCTGTAAGAAGTACTATTGCTACATTTGACCAGTAGATATGTTATATTAGCAATTACTTAAATATACATTAGATGCACTAGAACAGTTTCTCATCTCTGTTTAAGACACCTTACTTTTTTGATGTATGGATGTGGCACCATATAGATGACAGGGAACTTTAACCCTATTATGGTTATATTAGATCACGCAATAATAGCACACTGGCAAGGCAATAAAAACCAATAAAGCACATCCTTCCAGATGTTGTTAAGGCTCCTAGGATCCCTCAACCATTAGCTAGGCTTGCTCAAGATTATGGGCACTGCAATCCAACACCATCTGTTTCTAACTTGCCTTACCCTGACTTAGTTTTTATTTATCCATTAAATGAAATTAATGGAAAAGAGAATTATAACGCCACTTCAAAGAACCTCCTTTTACTTAATTCTACTTCATTTTGGAGCAGCCCACTGTTGTGGGATGAAGCTCACTTTATTTTATTCATCCTTCTACAAGACCGACCCTGGAAAACATCCCTGATAGCCAGTAACCTTAGTTGTGACTTGGTGGATGAGTTCCTCTCTCTCCAAGGTATAAGGAAGCAGCATTTGCTCCTTTTCAAGCATCTCTGGTGCTCAACGAGATATCAGATGTCCCGCCGCTCTTATCTCCTACCAGAGAAAAATATGCACCACTGGCACAAAGACAGGCATATTTCAAACCCATGCTTTCCTTCTCTTTGCTTCCTGCAGTCCGTCCATTAGTAAACCAAGCTACTTGACAAAGTCTAGTTCATGTTATTGTCCTCTTCGGCCTTGACTACCACAACTTTCTGCTCTTTGTTTTCGTCTACTTCACTTAAGACCAATCAATTTTATCTGAAAGTCTTTTGCTACAGTCATTCACTTCCTTCTTTAACAGCTGTTCTTAAATCCCTACTCTGACTGCTATTTCCAGTAAGTAATACACGATTTTCATTCCTATTTTCAAAGCCCCCCATGGCCTTGCCCCCACTGCTCTGCCTCAGTATTTCAATGTGCCCCTGCCCACTTCTATTTCTTTTTTGTGCCCATCATGCCTTGATTATGTCCCCTATATAAGGGAGAATCATAAAATCATAGGGCCATTTAGTCCAACCCCCTGCCATGCAGGAAAAGCACAATCAAAGTAACCCTGACAGATGGCCATCCAGCCTCTGTTTAAAAGTTTCCAAGGAAGGAGCTACAACCACACTATCTAGATGGCACTATCTTTCTCCAAATCTTCTCTCCAAAGAAGCTTTCAGGTGTATATTTAGCTCTTGTCTGCTGCTGAAATTAAACATATATAAATTTCACCTACCTTCACTGGCTTTTAAGAATGCAAGCATTGCAACATTGAGGAAATCATAGAATCATAGAATCAAAGAGTTGGAAGAGACCTCATGGGCCATCCAGTCCAACCCCCTGCCAAGAAGTAGGAATATTGCATTCAAATCACCCCTGACAGATGGCCATCCAGCCTCTGTTTAAAAGCTTCCAAAGAAGGAGCCTCCACCACACTCCGGGGCAGAGAGTTCCCCGGATCTGAGTAACCCTTTGTTACTCAGTAAAACACCATACAGCTTAGAAGACAGTCTTATTAAGACATATATGTGTTAGACCTCAAATTTTAAAAACCAAATTGCTGCACATGGTTGTTTATTCTCACCCATGTGCAAACACCAATAAAGCATTTCACTTGGGAAAATCATTTCAGAATTACTAATGCTTTCCATTCTCCCTTTCCCCCCCCCCCCCCCCGTAGTCTTCAAAGTTTCCTGTAATTTCAAATGCTATATATCATTACTATAGTAATACATGCTGCATTAATTAAAACAAAATGAATTTAACAGAATAGAATATTAACTAACTACTAGATGAGGAGAAGAACAGCCATGAGAGTTTGGGATCATGGACAATCTTTTCAGATAGTCTTGTTTCCAACTTCACTACTTCTATTAACTTTTTCTTACCCAGTATTAAGAACTTCTATCAATAATGCACAAAGGTTTTATTTATTTCACACTTTTGGAGCTAACAATAAAAAGTGTTATTAGACACATAAGAACATAACAAAGAGTAGTGGAGCTGTGTGTCAAATCATTTTATCGATGAATATTCATTACAATATGCTAAGTGGTGAGCTCTGCTTTTTTTCTTGGCAGAAGACCTAAGGTTATAAGGCAAGCATTAAAGAATGCATAAAAGTAGCAGTTACTTCTAAATGCTAAATCCCTTGTCAATGAATAGTAAGTCCAAGTTTAATGAACCAGTGAATTTTTACTTTGCTTTAACATCAAAATTGTGATGTATTTTGGTGAGATGGAAAGAAAAGCAGGGTGGTAAATTAGCACCCAGCAATAACCCTGCAGAGTGAAGTTCCAGTTGTCTGTGTAATCTGTTGCTGCAGAGCAGGTTAATCAAAGTTAAATCATCTGTGAAATGGGTGGCTTTTGTTAAGCTGGAAGTGTCATCGGATCACATTTACTATCTATATTTTTAGGCAGGCACAAAGGAAACATATTTTTCAAAAATAATACTGCTACAGAAGATATTGCGCTCTTTGAGACACTATTTTATCAAAGAAATATCTAAGGTCACATGCTAAATTCTTAAAAATAAGGCACACAAATTTAACAATACCACAGCTTTATCTCACAGCAAAGACTGTTGCTAATGGTAGCACAAATCATATTCCCCAACAAATTTGTTTCCTAAAGATGTCTAAAACAGCATTACTTGCCCTTCCTTTCCTCTGTCATTTAAGAGTCCTGTATATCAAAGAGCTGACAGTGACACCTATCAGTAACACTGCAAGGTGACAACTACAAGCTTTTATGCACCAGAATCTGACTGTAACTGATCCCAGGGAATAACTGGCAGGCAATCTAAATTCACTTTGAATTCCCCAAAGATACACATCAACATCCAAACTACTACTGTCTACATTAAACTGGACATTTCTGTGTATTATTCAGTTCAAGGGAAATACCAGAAGGAACACTCAGAAAGAGATCAATATAATGAACAATGCTATTATACAATATCTTTAGCCTAGTCCAAACAATACTCCAGTTGAACCTGGCATAACACAATTAAAGGAAACACCACTCCTTATTTTCTCATTCCTTTTGGACTGTTTGTTCACATTGGGGATCACTGCATAATATGTCAGAATGAGAGATGAGAAAGAAACTGCACAAGTTTCTGTTAACACAGAGAATTCAGTCAAGAAACGTCATTTTGCTTGGGAGCACTCCAAAGAGAATTAGATGGACAGACTGTGGTTAAGAACATAACTATTGTCATACTGGGCGAGACCAATACCCATCTACCCAATATTCTGTCTCCAGCAGTGTCCAGAAATGGATCGTTGAGGATATCTACCGAACAGAGCAATTATGGGGCTATTTCTCTGCGGTTGTTCATTTCTGGTATCCAACAGCCAAAGATTTGGAAACACTGAGAATGAGATGATCACTAACGAACCCATCCTCCATGACTTTCTAATCATTTTCAGATCCCAGAAAGAGACAGAACTTTACTGTATCCAATTTCTCAAGTTTAAGATGAACTTGGTAGTGTCTGAAAGACTGCTGTGCCTCCTTATGTAATAACGATGCTGCTTAAGGGCTCCAAATAGGATGTGGAAATTAGAATGGCTAAACAATATTTTTTAAGCATTAAACTACACTATGGTGTAAAAGTTAATAGCCCTTTATCTTTGGGTAGCTTCTGGACTCCAGACTGAGCATTAGTTGAGACAGACCCCACTTGGTAATTAATAAGTAAATGAATAAACGTTCTTGAGATTTATAAACTCAAGTCAGTAGATGCATAACATGAAATGGGTCTGCTCATGTGTGACAAGAAGCAGAGAACTATTATCATGGAATTAAGCCCACCCTATTAAGCAGAAAGGCTGTCAGGATGCCTTGATAAGCAGGCAGATAGTACATGATCTCATTCCTCTAAACAAAAGCAAAGTTAAGTACAGAAACAGTACAAAGAACATGAACTAGGATTTTATTTTAAATATTTCTTAGCATATTTTCAATAAATTGAGGCACGTTATAGCTATTGAACATGAATCACAAAACCTCAGGTAAATTCAGTTCTAGCAGTAAATAAACAGTGACACTATACACTACTTAAATGTTAAAAGTGTACATCTTTTTTAAAAATCCCACTGCAATATAGGACCTCACTACCTTTGAGGATGCTTGCCATAGATGCAGGCGAAATGTCAGGAGAGAATGCTTCTAAAACATGGCCATATAACCCGAAAAATCTACAACAACCCAGTCACATGCCTTGCTTTATGTGTTTAAGAACAAACCAGCATGTGAACTTTTAGTCTGTTTCTTATCACAACACATGGTTTGAGCCAAAGCTGCAAGCATGCAGGGGCAAAAACAACATATGAAGCCGAGGTTTTTCTGAGGGTTTTGCAACAGCACTTCTACCTGCTAGATAGCCACGGTTCATTTTCACGTTTATCTAAGTGATAGGATGGTGAAAATGCTTGACCAAAAACTTGACACAAAAAAACTGCATTCGCCATGTGTGGCTCTCAACAGCCACATTCATAAATCTGTATTCTAGGGCTAATATTCTTCAGTTTACCTTATGTTAAAGAAACTCTAAAAGTCTTTTTCTAGAAGAAAAGTATTTTTACTTTACAAAATAGGAAATACTCTCAAAAATCATGATGAACAGGCAGCCTAACACATGCCAGCTTTTTAACAAAGCCCAAAGTCACCTTGCAAATATTTGTTTGTCATAGTTTTCACAACAATTTTGAGGTAAGATCAACTCAACCTTCTCATGATTTTTTTTTTTAAAAAAACAAAGAAACAGGAACTAAATCGATATTCACCTTCCTTAGGCTGAGCCATAATTGGAGTTTGGGTCTCCTTTGTATATGTAACCATTTCTCGAGGAGGAAAGTCAACCTGTGTAATTTTGGACATTGCAAGTTTAATGGGTCCACGTCTAAAAAAGAGAAGAGAGTTATAAATGAGGTGTTCAAATTCAAGCACAAAATACTGAGGCTAAGCATTAGCAAAACACTTTTGCGAGACACATCTCATTCACCATTTTACTTTATGTAAATTTTACACTACTGCAAAGTGCACATTTAGCATGTAAGAAACCAAATTAGTCTCATTTTTCCATTGTCAGAAACACTCTTGAGTTTTGAAGAATTTAGATCACTGGAGTCCACCCTTTGGTCCTTCAGGTGTTTTGGACTTCAGCTCCCAGAATTCCTGACCATTAGACAAGCTAGCCAAGGCTTCTGGCACTTGAAGTCCCAAACACCTGGAGGACGAAAGGTTGGACTCTACTGATTTAGATGCTGGGGACAAATCCAGAGTTACACAAACAAAACTCTTTAAATTGTATTAATTCCACAATTGATGGGAAAAGAGATGCTATCTCCCTCCTATTAGTCCCCGACATCCCTATACATTAGCTTTGGGAGGGCTGACTGGTGTTCCACAACAGTGTATGAATTGGCACTGAGCGCTACAAGGGGAGGAAGAAGCAGTGAAAAGCTTCTGCTGGATTTCAAATCCTTCTGCCTACAGAAAGAGCCTTCCTTTGGTAAAGGGAAACTTCTTGATTCAACCCAAAATACAAATGGGTGCTGTATATTCACAACACAATTCAAATCTGACTTACAAGAATGTGAGCTACTGCACTGAAATAAACTGAAATTAAGAAAAGAACAATGCAGTAAATATTGGCAATCAGAGATTGAAGTGATTCCCAAGCACTATTTAATCTACATATATACACACATGATAATAGTTCCACCAACAAGTGTAAGGATATACCGTATTTTCTGGTGTATAAGACGATTTGGCGTATAAGACGACCCCAACTTTTCCAGTTAAAATCTAGTTTGGGATGTATTCGCTGTATAAGACTACCCCTCTTCCAATGCACGCCAAATAAAACTTTTAAAAACATCAGATTTGATTTCTATATGGTAATTTTCTTATTACCATACCTCCTTGTCTGCCTCTCAAATCTTGCACATGCGCACCTGCAGTCCTCAGAAGTGAGATCTGATAGGCAGAGAAGGAGGTACAGCAATAGGGTGGGCCAGACAGGTGAAAGAGGCATCTTTTTCTGGGCACAGGCCACTCTATCTTTTTTTCCCCTACCCTGGGCGTCCCAGACGCCTGCAGCTTGTTCTGTCCTTCATTTACGCCTTCCTGGTGAGGCATCCCCTCACTATGTCACTGGGACTGCATTAAGTCACTTCTTTCCATGAATCCTGGTGAGTGTATTTTCTTGTACCATACTTGTACAGAACTGCCCTTGCTGCTTTCATAAGGTCACCGCATACGGTGAGGATGCAGCCACAGCTGTTTTTGAGCTCCCCCACCATATGCGGCGACTACAGATTCTCCAGTCCGGCTCAGAAGTTTCAGCACCCACCCTATAAGATGACACCCAGAGTAGAAGATGACCCCCAACTTTTGAGAAGATTTTCCTGAGTTAAAAAGTAGTCTTATACACCAGAAAATACAGTAATAATAGATTTTTCACAACTGTGCTTAAAATGTTTAAAAAGTGAGGTGAAGGCAAACCCACTACCCTCAGTTTTTCCTCTTTTTTTCGTATAGGATATTCCCTACGTGGTTGTATCATTTTCATATGTTATCCCAATAGCCTTTTAAAGTAGGCCGGACCATTACAGACATTCATGGCTTCAGAAGAGTCATGAATACCAAAAAATAAAGTTACTTTCAAAATGTGAGAAAAGAAATTTAGTAAGTTAGTAAACCAGAAATCTTTAGAAAATTAGATGCATTTAGAAGCTAGATATAAGGTAACATTTTTGATGTGCACATGTACCAAAATGTGAATACACAATCGTGTACTCATGTGCTGATGTCAAAAATATGACTTTTAACACTCATTATAGGAACTACTGATTAAACCAAATACATCATTGTAACTTAATGCAGACAACACCTTAATACCAACTGAAATTGCTATCCATGTAAATATTATTATGCTTTAGGAAGCAAGTTCAATTGTGTTACAAAAACATTAAAACAATTGTTACATTAAAATTGAAGATAAAAAAAATCTCTGCTGTACCCCATATCAGAATCTGAGTGGAGCTGTAGAACTGATGGATCAGTATCCCAATGCAGCGTCCTGACACACAGTTTGAAGAACAACCATGCAGCATTAGCAAAAAAGGGCCAGAGATTAGTGAAGCAAATACATTCTATGAAATGTTAAAGCTACTTTAAGCTACAGTCATATCAGAGTTTCAAGAACAAAGAAATGCCAGATAGATCAATTAGTAACAATTGGGTGGACATTCAGTAGTACAGCAAGACATGCAATAAATATATCAGTGAAAACACAAACAATTCAGAGCAAGTAGTTGGGTTGCAACATTTAGTCAACCAACCATTTAGATTAATTTATGATACTGTTTTAATTGGCCCAATGTGCTAGCTTTATAAAATGGGCTGATTTTTTAAAAATAAAATTTAATACATAAACTATAAGCCTGTGCCTCAGAAAACAGCACACTTTCTCCCACACAGGATGAAGTCTCAAACAACACATGTGCATATTTTTATACATAAGGAAATACAAACAGATTTAATCAATTAGAAGTTATATGATTAACTGTCTAAGATTTCTTTAACTGGGTGACAGCCCCAGTTTTTAGAAATGAATTCAGTCATTCTGAAGAGAAATCATTTGGAAGGTTTGTAGCACATGAACTTAAAAGAACAGAGTAGAGTTTTACACACTGGCAAACCAACTACACAGATTAGGTAGTGTCATTTGATCTAACTTGCTAACATATTGTAATCTTGCCCCAAGCATTAAATATGTTCAGGAAATTGTCATATTGGTAAAGGAAATGAGTCAACACGTAAACCTTTGGGTACAAAAAAAGTGCTTTTCCACTGGGATATACTGCTGCTAGTGTTTCCAAGATGTGACACTGCTGTAATTATGGGTTAAGCACTGCCTTGGGCTTATGTCATTTAATTTAAAGTTAACTCAAGACAGTCAATGTCATAAGAAATTGTGAGAGAGACAGCAGAATTTTCAGTAACTCAAAGTTAAGGGATGCTGAATTTGAAATCTAATGCCATTTGGTGGTGGTGTGGGGGGGGGGGGTGAATAAGATCACTCCTCCAGAAATGATTACAATGGATTACTTCCTGGGAACTCTGTTTACCAAATTAATTTGAAATTAACAAAAGATTTCAAAATATTGATATCCAGTACACAACACCAAAACAAAGAATTTATTGTAACCTATAATATTTAATATAGCTTATTCTACTCATGGGGGGATCAATTTATGTATGTATGCACATATGTATGCATGTTTCAAATATTGAAATTATTAACTACTTTTAAGTACTTTGCCATCATAATTTGCAATGTTTAAGAAAACTGACACAGTTTTTTCTTATGTGTAGGAAATAATACGAGTAATCAACTTACTTGAAACTATAAATTACAGAGAGATTGCTGAGTAAAGGCTATCAATGTAATTTTGTTACATTGTATATACTCAAGTATAAGCCAAGTTTTTCAGCCCTTTTTTAGGATGAAAAAGGCCCCCTCAACTTATACTCGGGTCAAGTTTATGTATTATTTTACTCTGTTATTATTATTACATGTATTATTTTACTCTATTTATTATTATTATTACATTTCTTATTTTACTCCATTTATTATTGTTATTATTACATTTACATTGTTTTACGCTATTTATTATTATGCTTACATTTATTATTTTACTCTATTTTTATTATTACATGTATTATATTACTCTATTATTGTTATTATTATATTTATTATTTTATTCTCGTATTACTGTTATGATTATATTTCCATTATTTTATTCTTTTATTATTATTATTACATCTCTATTTTACTCTATTATTATTGGAAGGATACATAAGCACATTTACTTTGAAGAAGGTTAGAATAATGGTTTAATCACAGTTGGAAAGTCTTACCTTAAATTGGAGTTTTATGAAAATATTCAAAAACATTTAACCTACTGATGCCTCAATTAATGTAATTTTATTGGTACCTATTTTTATTTTGAAATTTAGCAATACCGGCTGCATTTCCCACCCTCGGCTTATACTCAAGTCAATATGTTTTCCCAGTTTTTGTTGTAAAATTAAGTGCCTTGGCTTATATTTGGGTTGCCTTATACTCGGGTATATGGTACATTTATTATTCAAGTTAACTATTATTACTATTATTAAATTTCATGTATATCTTTCTTTTCTACCACAGATTTCAATAAGTCAATTCATAAAAGGCAAACAACTGTCAAGTGACAACCAAGGTAACATTAAAAATAAAATAGCAAAAATGAAAATTAAAGACCTTTTTTTAAAAAGAAAGAAAAAAGAAAAACACTAAACATAACAAGTTGTCTGTCTACGACGGCTACCTCTGTTTCTGGGTATTACAACAATAGCCCAACAGGTGTGGATAATATCCTCCACAGTGTCCAGATGATAGGTTTTCAAAGTACTAAGAAAAGCAAGAAGAAAGAAGCCTAGTTGAACCCTACTCTCATTGTGACCAAAATGCCATCTTCCTTTTACTTGCCAGTCACAATGTCAATGTCAACAGGGCCCTCTATGGCTAATCTAAAAGGCCCCAGTACATTCATTGGGAGATGGTAGTCTTTGACTTAACTTTTAAAGCATTTAATGATCCTGTTGGATGGACTGACACCTGTCAGATGGACAGACAGAGTATGCACACAGAACTAAACAAGCACCATGTTCTCTCAAAAGAAGGTGAACAGGTAGACAAGAAGAGTACCACGTCTCTTCCTCCCTCCAGTTCAGAATGGAGAAGCTCCAAGGTGCAAAGCTGAAATGAGACTCAGTGAAAACACTAGTCTGTCCTCCCAACTCAAATCCCATTTTAATTCCAAGTAGACACAACAAACAAACAAACAGAAAGAGAGTACAAAATAATTTGCTGTAATTTAATACTGCTTTTTCCAATATGTTTAGCCGGGTTTTTTTTTAAAATTTAATTTAAATGAATTTGAGTTTTTATATCTTTAACAAAATGTCTGCCAAATTCCTGGTTTGCTTCTCAAAATGTAATTTTTTAAGACTACATTTCTGCTGCTATTCTATTTTGGCAAGTGAGGAAAGAGCTCCAGTTTTAAATAGAAGTCTTCTTGCCATCCTACGTCTTTCTGAAAACAGTTATTTAACCATGCTGGTAGTCCATTAGATTTAGCTATAGTATCCCAGATCTTTGCTTACATTTATTTAACCTTTCGTTTAAAATAACCCCCAAACCTCCTAAAAAGAGCTGTCTTTCCTTACTCTCTTCTTCAACTTTCACCTGTTTCCCTCATAATTATGAAAGTCTTCATTAGCTGCAGAAGAGGGCTGTGGTGATGTTCCTAGGCAACTGTTTATTCACGTATATGCTGAATAGAAGATAATAGTAACTGCTTTTATGAGCTTCAATAACACTTTGTAACAAAATTTGAAAAATGTTTCTTCCTGATTTGGAAGTTTTATTTCCTATTTAATTGTGTGGTATTTATTTTGAAAGTAATTGTTATACTTCAGAAAATTTGTGGCTGCCACATACTATGTTGAATTGATATTCATTGAAAAACAATAGCAAAATGTGCTACAGGATGTCCTGCAAAACCAAGGGCTTTTTTTAGTTTAATAAACTTTTTTCTGTGTTTTTATAATAGAACCAATTAGTATATGACATCTATAACCCAGGAGAGAGAGAAAATGTTACACAGTGTAACCAGCATATTCCTAACCAGATCTCGGGCAATGCTCAATAAAACTGAGCAAAGAAAAAATGTATCAATACCACAAACATTCCACAAGCTGTTTGTTCAAAGTCATACCAAATGAACCTTTAAAAAAATTGGAATCTTCAGGGTAGACAATTCAGCCTACACAGCATTATCAAGTGACACCAACAATGCATGATTTAACCATATGAGATTTACAAGGCTATACAGAAAGGGCCAGGCAATGAGCTTCTTTCACATTCTACCAGCATGTAAAAGACAGATGCTTCTGCAACCCTCATGTTGGCAGGGATACATGAGATGTCAGATTCAAACATTCATTGTAAGCATCCAAGATATCTGTGAAAGTTTATTTTCTGTAGTTGTAGGGAGAAATCTGGCTTCTTCCTTGTGCTTCAAAGACACGGCTTGTTTACTGTCAACCATATTTAACAACCTAAGGAGGAGCATCAGTAGCGGAATGACAAATCTCTGGACAAACAAATATATACCATCAGTGACTCAAACAAAGAAAACAAAAAACAAGATGGGAATGATTCCCTCCTAACCAACTAATTCATTCATTCATTCAGTCATGGTACTTGTATCCTGCTTTCTCTCTCTCAGGGAGACTCAAAGCGGCTGTTTTCTGCAATGTGGGAAGGTGATCCTTCATGCTGATGTCTATCAATACCAATATCACACCTCTAGGACAGGCATGTGTCTCTGACAAATAAGGTGGAGAAACCCAAATAGCTGCTCTACTAATCTTCAACAAAGAAATGGTTGCGCCCGATGCAACAGTGCGATGAGTGGAATGTGCCTGAAGTCCCTCTGGAACTAGTTTTGAACTATGTGCCTAAGTCACCTCAATACACTGTTTCAACCAGCAAGCCAAAAGTATCAGTTGGCCCTTATATTTTACTCCTGAATAGAGACATAAAGTCAGGTTTACGAAACCCCTTAGTATCTAGATCTGTCTTGACTAGATTTAGATCTGGTCTAGATCTGAAAGATCTGTCTAGACCAGATCCTTCCAACTGTGAGTCATGACAAGTTAGTGTGTCAGCTACAATATGTAGGTGTGTCACACAAATGTACTGAGAAATGACAAATATCTTGGAAATATATATTACTGTCTCACAAATCATATATTTTAAAAAAACACGAATTAAACATTTTAATGAGGTAATGTCATGTCCACATATATTTCGTTATTACAGTTTATATATGAGTCCATATCTCTTTGCTAGTAAAACTGAATTACTGTGTCACGAAATGATGCATGTCTTGAAATTGTGTTACCAATATAAAATGTTTTGAAAACTCTAGAAAGAAAATTTCAAGGCCTTATCACATGCAATCTGTACCTCTCTTTCCCTTGTGGTGTCTTGGGCTCCAAGCAAAAAGAAAGCAGCAAAATCTCTTAAGAAGAGCATAATACAGAATTCACTATGGGGAAAAAGTAGGCTCCAAACAAAGAATAACTGAATCCTTACGAAAAATACACAACTCCCTGACTGATAGAGTCCTAAATTCAGAGCCTCTACAAGCCGAAGTTATGGAAACCAAAAATGAAATTGGAAGTCCATTGATCTCAAGAGTTAAATAGAGCCTTCAGTAAGGCATGCAAAACCACAATCAGATTCCACAAGGTTCCCAAATAACTTAGATCTATTAAAAGACAGTCAAATGAGCTTTGATCCTTTTATCTGCAATCTAATTTTTTAGCATAAGTTGATGCCTGGCAGTGACATCAACCATCATAGCTTGTGATGCATATTAGACTGAATAATGACTAACATCAGACATAAAAATGTCGCCAATTTATTGCAGAAGCTTAGGCCCCATCTACATTGCCATATAAAATCCAGGCCATCTGCTTTGAACTGGATCATATGGCAGTACAGACTCATATAATCCAGTTCAAAGCAGATAATGTGGATTATCTGCTTTTATGTGGCAATGTAGAAGGAGTGTTAGTCTCTCCTTTGGAAACAAGAGACATCAAATATTTAGACTAACAAATAACTGCCCTTGTAAACAAGGACATTACTGAAGCAGCTCTGATTGCAAGATCTGAAGCCTCATGAACCCTATACAAAAAGATGTCAACTCTGGGCTTTTAAGGGTGTCATTTCCAACTCTAAGGAATAACGATCCTGACAACTATCCAGCTACAGGATCAGCAATAAGAAGGAGTTTTAATGTTTCCATAATATCAGACGGTAATCAATAATGGTGCTTCACAACAGCTGAAACTGTGTGCCACCCCAGGATGAACTTACTCGCTTCCATAACTTCTGCAAATACACCAGGAAAGGGTACCACATAATGTTCTCATTTAGCCTTAACCCTGATTTCTGGCACTCCATCCAGAGACTTCCCTGCTTTATGAGAAACAGGAAAGTAATAAGAATCAAATAATCCAGGAGATACATGCTCCTTTCTCCTCCCCATTCCACAAACCCCCTGGAACCCACATTCCATTTGGCTATGAAGGAATTCCATGTGCACAACTCACAGGGAAGCTCTTGGGAAAGGGAGGGAGGCAAAAGCATTCTCCACAGTCAACTGTGTGGCTGAAGCTGCTCTTGTCAGCACCATCACTCGGTCCATCCCACTATATGAGATTCCATCACACTCCTCAGTCACCTCAGTGACACAAACCAGGACAGACTGATTTCTTTCACAGGAGGTTGTCAGTCTGTTCTCTCTCTGCAACCTGAAGGTGCCTTCTAAGCACAGTACATCACAGATTCCTTGTCTGAAAGATTGGAGCTACATGTGTTTTCCAATCTGCCAAAAGCTACCACCTCCATTAAAGTCTTGAAAGATGTAGGGTTTAAAGACCACAAAAAATCTTAAGTAATGATGATCCACAGCTACCTTAAAGGTCCAAGATTAGCTAGAGCAATAAGCTCTGTCCTGTTCCAAGGATGGAACTGGGAAGGTGGGGTTACCTTTTCCCATTAGAATGTTAAGGATGATTGACAGTTAACAAGCCCTATCGGTGAAGCATGAAGGATTACCTTCCCCAACTAAAAGAAAAGTTACCTCTCTTATATTCTGAACAACAATCATATATCTTTTTCTTTTTTTCCCGAATAAAAAGAACTCTATTCTACTTTGTGGACTTCAATCAGCTAAACAATGACCTGTATTTTTGAAAACAAAGAAAATAGTCTTGTATGACCCAAATAAAGGCTACAATTACAAGTCAACTGGAGTGTCCTCTGTCTGATGATCTGCACATGATTGCACCCAACCACATGTCCATGTCAAACTAAGACTGATTCTATGTGAATCCTACAGGCTTACTGCTTTCTCTTAATAGTGGACCACAGGGAGGAGGTGATTAAGAAATCTAGAAGTGATTATTATATTTCTGCTTAGGACCTTGCTCCATTTACACAGACAAGCCAGTCCTATGAATCAACACTGAGTTTTCAAAATACCAAGTTTTAGGAAATTTATTTATTTATATTCTACCTTTCTCCCTGCACTTCATTCAAGGTGGCTTTGAATAATTCCTTAAAATGACAGATTTTGCTATTATTATTTCTATTATTATACCATTTTTTTCTTAGAGACTCAAAGGATGGACAGTGGATACAATATGCAATTTTAAACCTAAAGGCTTTAACCATTAAAAAAGAATTAAACCTAGAACTATTCAAAAGTTAATAATTAAAACCATTAAACTAGGAGTTTAGCAGGGTTCAAAGTAAATTCTTGATTGAAGCCCCGAATTGGAGAGAAATGTCTAGATATGCAGGATGTCTAGATGTGGAACATACAGCAATCTCCCAAATTAACAACAGCCTACTAAAAGACAGAGACTACATATGGGTTCTTTAGAATACTGGAGTGAACCATAATATTTGATAATATTATGCAATATTTAAGATGCAATACTTGTACTATAGATTAAGGTTTGTCTTAATACTGTACCGCATGCTTAACAGCACAAATTAATTACCATAACACCACAAATTAATTACCGTAATATTTAAGAAGTCATACCTAGAACCAACAGCACCATCACCGGAATCCTGGCTTCCAGCTTCACTTGGAGTGCTCACAGATTTCGAAGATGGAGACATAGGAGGGGGGACTAAATAGTGAAACAGACAGGTATCCGCTGTTACTAGTCGTAGAGGTTGAACAGCTTAGGATGTTTCCAAATTAATTTAACATGGAAGCATTAAAAATGATGGTAAACAAAACAAAACAAAAAATAAAATGGATGAAAATGAACAATAGAAAAAAAGGGGAAAAGACAATGTTAACATATCATGCTGGAGACTCATGCAGTGTTTAGCATTAAATGCATTTTGGGGTTACATTAAAAAGTATAATTTATAGAAAATGTTGAGGAAATGAAAATCCCATTAGGATTTCATAATTTTATGCATACAGACTGTTTCCCCAGAGATTAAAGCAAGGAATTAAAATATATAATGAACTGGATGCTGAGTTCCCATGAGTGGAAGCCTGTTCTTGAGAAGAGAAGGAAGGTAATTCCTCACATAGTTCACTTGCTGATTCAGAGAACAGCAAAAGAAACAGCTACACTACGTATGTTGAAGGACAAAGAAAGAATATGTCAAAATCACCTCCATCCATCAACTACTTCTTTCAGCAGAAGCCTATTTACTTAATGGCAATTTTGAATCCAACTCAACTAATTTGGTTTTGATGTATTTCAAAACTAGTTATTGCTGAAGGATCATAAAATAACATCACCACATGACAATTGTATTATTTCCTATATAAGCCACACCTCATTTTATTCATTCTAGCTTTTCTTTTATAGCTTCTTCTTTGACCAATATTATTTTCAAGATTTTATAAGAGGACTTCTAAATATCCGTTTTTGTTTTCCTTTACTCAACTATCTTTCTAATGAAAGATGCATATCTCTCAATACACTGTTTTTCAGGACAAATATCAATTCTAAAAAGAGAACTGGCAAAACTGGTGTTTTCATAATCTCTTATTCCACATTAATGAGATAATTTGAAAAAGGAATAGTGACAAGAAAAGCTGAATTCTGACTCAACTTATTAGTTGATAATTTTAAAAAGAAGCATGTATTTGATTCATTCTGAATCAAGTTCTTTGTTGTGATTTCAACTGATAACTACTGCCATCTATTGGTTGGTTAAACTTAAAATGGTCAAAAATCTTCCAATATTGCAGTGTCTCTCCTAATTGGAAGTAATAATGGTCTAAATCTAAGTGCTAGTCTTGGCTAGAGTAAATCCACTAAATTAATAATGAGATAAGGTTTTCCAACTGAATTGTTTTCATTAAAAAGTATAAGAAGTGTAAAAAAGTAATTGTCTATCCATGGCTTGAAGTGAGATGACCTATATTCTCCCTCCTCAGAAGTCTATCATTTACTTTTTCACAAACTCATTTAGAATTCTGTTATCAAAATAAAGCTGAATTCATTCTGTTTTAGGTGAGTTAGAACTTTATTAATAAGATTAGCTTGTAAATTTACTAAAGACTAGTTAGTATATATTAAAGTACATATTGTTTTCTAAACAGTTAAGTTACATGCAGGTAACAAAATTCTAACTTGCAATATATAAATACAAGATTAGTTATTCTTTTATATACTCAGCTATCACAAGAATGTGGCTCTGATTATAAAACCTCCATAAACACATTAATCCCCATGTGTCTAGACAAATTTACATGGGAGATGAGTGTGCTCACCAAGGCTCTTGCCATGTACATGGACCATTCGAACAGAGAACAAAATGATTGTGATCACAATATCTAATTAAAGACATTCAAGTAGTACTGCAATTACATATATGCTGCAGTCTTAAACCGTTATCCTAAACGTCTAAATTAGTGTTGCTGCATAATGTGACCCTTACTTCTAAGTAAAGATATACAAAATGGCACAGTTATGAAACAAAGTTCAAACATTTGTGTTCTTGTAGAAGATAATCACAAATTCCTTGTTCTGAACTAGTCACTGAACTGAGGGATTTTGGAAGAAATCTCTAGCAAAGCACAAATACCTACCGTTTTGGGATGTGGCAGGCAAAAAATGCATTTCAGCACAGAGATAGCATTTTTACAGAATTTACCTGATCTGAAAATCCAGGACTTCAGACAATACTCAGATAACAGTTTTGCATCTAAAATTATTTTCTTTCAGATTTTTCCTTGTCAGTAAATTCACTTTTCATGAGTACTTTTTGTACAACCAGAAGATTTACTTTGCTAGAAAATGGCTCCTATACCAAAAAGCCATTAATATTAATACTTTGGGGGAAACGTATTACCAAATTTTATTTCAAAACTGTTGTGTAAACATCTATACAAATAATTCCCTCACATTTTAATATTTATAAATATAGCACTTTTAAAAAGTAAATCTAAAGAACAATGTGCGGCATTGGCTACACTGATTCTATGATTCTATGATTCTTGCATCAAAGACAACCAGCTTCTGAATAAGCTGCACTTTAGTACAAGAGAAGAACAAAAAATCTGTTTTAAGTATGTAGGCCACTAGGTAGTTTCTTGCTATGCTGCAATGCCCCCTTGTGGCAGTGTTTTCACTTTCTTTATATATCTACAAGAATTAAGAAAAACTTGAAATTTGTAGCTTTTGTTCTACTGAAGAACTTTGCTTTTAGTCATTTATTAAAAAAGAAGGTACTAGAGATAGTTGGAAATACAGTATTTTAAGCCTGATGGTATTTCTTAAGTTGGTGTTTCAGCTCCAACTGCATTTTAAGTTGATTCAAATGAAATAACAGTGGAGATCCCAGAGTAAGTTATTTGGTTGAATATAATTAACGAACAGCATATCCACATTACACAGTTGTAACACTTCAATTCCACTATAACTGCTATGGCTTTTTCCTATGGAATCCTAAAATTCAGTGCCAGAAAATGTCAATGCAGTAATTCAAGGAAGACAATTTTAAATCTCTTCACTTTAATATCTAAGATATTTTCAGGGTTTTGTTTTCTAAAGGAACAGTCTCTAAACTGAACCATTGCATGCTACAATATTTATTTATTTATTTATTTACTTCATTTGTTGACAATAATAAAAGATCATCTAAGTTGATATACCCCTTTATACTGATTCTATATATAGTATAGTCAAGATTTGAGAAGCTCATAGGATAAAATATTGCAATGAACACTCAACAGATGCATGCATGAATGAATCATTGAACTCTCATGCTAATATTAATGCCACTTTTTGTGGTGGGAGAGACAGTTACACAAATTTACATCACAATAATACATACCCATAGGAGCATCTGGTGTCAACCCCATGCTTTGAAGCAAGGCTTCAGCTTCTCGTCTTTTCTTTTCAAGGTCAGACTCATCTTGTGCAGGAAGAGATTCTTTCTTTTGATCAGTCTAAATGTTTTTTCAAATGACAAAAAGTATGTGGTTGAGTACACTTTTAATATTCCACTAGTTTCATGTGCAAGGGACAAGGTTTTTAAAACCATTACTTTATTTCATAGAAGCAATGATACAGTGAAGATGAAAATGAATCTATATTTTATTGTGAAAGGATGTACATGGCACAAGACCTATTGTCAAGTCTCATTAAAGCCTTGTATGGAATAAGTGGCAAAGATCAAGGAAGACAGAAGAAGGAGAAAGAATTGTGCAAATACTTGTCTCAGGCTGAGCGAGGATACTGTCATTGGGAGCAGTGAGCTGCTAATTTCCATAGCAGTATGCATAAGACAAAAAGCAATCTTAGTGTCTATGCAAAGCATAGCTAAACAGAGAAGAAAAAAGCTCTCGTGTACTCCTCTCTGACCTCAGTGCTGCTCCAAGAATCTAAGCACGCATAAAAGACAGGATTTTGCATTATTGTTTTTGTGCAACAATGTTGCTTAGAATTTTCTACTCATTTTGTGGAGGACAAATAAAAATTATTCCATTTGACAGGCTAACTGAATTGCTTTCAATGGGATCACATTCCCCTTAGAAGATCAGGTTCATATCCTGACAGAGCTCCTAGATCCCCCACTGTTACTGAATTGTAAGGTGTCAAATTATGCACTTGTACAACTATGGTGAATATGTCAGTTGCAACTGTTTCCGATGGAGGCTTTTCGCAACAGTCATTCCTACCTTGGTTACATTGCACTTTTGTAACAGGCTCTAAAAAAGAACCAATCAGGCATAATATATGTATTATATAAAACTCTTAAAGATTTGATTCTTACTCCTCTCACTTTCAGACCACTGAGATACAACAAAATAAGATTGCTGAGAGCATGCAAGAATCATTGGCAATTTTTTTTGGAATTTTGCTTGAAAGATTGAAAATTCTTTTATATTAGATTTTATTAATACAGCGGTACTTATTCTGGAAAATTGATTGTGCTTTGGCACAATCAATTGCCAACAACTGACTCTATAACCTCTAAAGGACCTTAAAAGTAGACTTGTATGCATCTAAATCCTTAAAATGTAAATTTCAAAGCAATCATGACTTGTACATTTTATTCACTGCATAAACTTCTTGCATTGACTGGAGAATGGGCTCTCCTGGACGATATTCCACTTTATCAAATGTATGAAGTGTTATGACAAGTCATGTTGAACCAATTGGAAACCATGACCACAATCCATCAAATTCATGTTAGGGGCTATTAGAAAAGAGATCCAAAACAAAGTGGCAATCTGAAACTAATTTCATGTACAATACTGGCAACAACTCTTTAGAAAGAACATTACAGATTTGCAAAATGTGCCAAAAAGGACTATTAAAACATATATGGAGCTGAGGGAAAGATGTTGGGGACATTACTGCCAAGAAGCCACCTTCATCAGGCCTTGCCTTCTAGGAATTGTTGCATCACAATCTAAAAAGTGAAAGAGTTGAAGCAGAGTAACTCCTACCAGTTTCATTAAAATGTCAGCAATTTTTTGTTTCTCCTTTCTTTAACTATTCCACATTTCAGTTGGCAATGAAAAGAAGTGTGATCACGGATGGGTGCATTAAAACCTCTTCCTGCTACTACTACTTTTCTACTGGTATACATCCAAACATTTTGTTGCAAACTGGGTGCCCAGACAGGTTGCAGCAGCAATTAAATAAGTATGAATAGAAAGCAAAGATGAAAACATATAAAATAGTTAAAAATACTTGAACATTGCATATATTTGTTTTAAATAGCTGATATTCTATCTGGCATAAAAACAACAGGCAGGGACATTAAAGACCAAGCTCTTCTGGCAGGTTTGTTCAGATAGTTTTAAAATTATGAACTGTTTTTTAATGTGTATTCTTATTATGTAGACTTCATGCCATTTTAATCTACTGTGGATTTGAATTGGTGTTTTTAACTGTGCTGTATTTTAATCTGTCATTCCCTGCTTCAATCTATAGGGTGAGACAGGTAAGAAATACTACTACTAAACACTTGTAGTCAGTTTTCAAAAGTCTATTGAAATGGAAAGCTTTACCTGTAAAGAGGAAGGAACCAAGGAAGAAACCAATCTGATCCCCCACCTAGGGAGGGAAAGGGATAGCCACCAAAAAGGTATATTTTTTTGTTTCCACCATACATCCCTGTGAGAGTGGCTGGACTACGAGTCCAATAATCTCAGAACCCAGGCCAGATCATATGGAAAAATACAGTACTTCAGACAGGCTGGACTCAAGTCGTATCAAGGTCTTAGAAATGATAACTAGCACTCTGAATTGGGCCTAGAAGTAGACCAGAAAAACTGTTCCAGTGAGGGAGTTATAACTATGCTTCTTATAATCTGCTCAGTGAACAATGCAGTTGTCAAGTCTTTAGACCTGCTGAAGCTTCTGAACGTTCCTCAAATGGGATATAACCAAAGCATATAGTACTATGACAGGTCCAAGAAAGGCAGTTAGTACACTAGCTTTAACTGTGCAAATGCACTCCTGGATACCACTAAAACATGTGCATCTAATTTCAAGATGGAATCTGGGAGCATATGCAAAGTGTGTAACCACAGCCAACATAGGCAATCCCTATTCTTTGATCAGCCTTTCAACTGACCAAGAACACCTTGTTAGGATTAAGGTTCAATTTGTTTGCTCTCATTCAAGCAGTTACTGAGAAAAATGGACATCTTTCTTGGAGTTAGTTGGAAAGAAGAAATAGAGTTGTATATCTTTGACATATAGTGGCACTAGATTATCAAAGATCAGCCAATTTCTCTCAGTGTTTTATGTATATGCTACCAATAAACATAAATCCAATAAAATCCTGAAGAACTAGGTCCATAGGACAATGACCAAGGAGTTGAGCAGGGACTCATCACCTGCACTTGCCATTCCAGAAAGGAGAAGAGCCACTGCAGAGCACTGCCTTGATGTCTCATCTCAGCAAAGCAACCCCAGAAAGACATTACAGCCAATGTTATCAAAAGATGTTGAAACGTTAAGCAGAACCAATGGGGATGCACTTCATCATCACATTGCCCAAAACTGTTTAATGACCCACGATAACCTATCTCATCCTGGCACTGAGAGGCTCTACACACTCCAGTATTTTGTCCACGCCTTAGTTACCTCCAGGTTGGAGTATTGCAATGCACTCTACGTGGGGCTCCCCTTGAAGATGGCCAGGAAACTGCAGCTAGTGCAAAGATCAGTGGCCAGGTTGATAACTGGAGCGAATTAAGGGAGAGTTCAACTCCCCTATTCAAACAGCTCCATTGGCTGCTGATAAGTTTCCGGTCTTGATTCACGGTGCAGGTTATCACCTATAGAGCCCTACACAGTTCGGGACTGGCTTATCTTCATGACCGTATCTTCCCCTACAAAACCTATGTGGTCTCCAAGATCTTCTGGGGAGGTCCTTCTCTTGCTCCTACTCCCATCACAACCATGGTTGGTGGGGACAAGAAAGAGGGCCTATTATTATTATGTTTATTTTTATTATGTTTATCTTTACCCCTCTTTATTTCTCCTGAAGGAGACTCAAAGTGGCTTACATTAAAAGTATTACAGTCAAATTTAAAATATAGAAATATGCAAACATGAGAAGATAATTAAATATAATAGTATTAAAAATCACAGTTAAAATCCATTAAAACATATTCAAAGCTAAAAATCATATTCAATTTCATTAAAGCAACAGTTAAAAGTGGCCCTGGCCATATGGTGAGCAGGCAACTCGTGCTCCATGAACCAGGAAAAGGCTGAGAAGCAGGTAGTCAAAGAGGCTTTCTTTCAGCTTTCTAGATTTGAAGCCATGAGGTTCAGGATGTGAGATCCCAGTTCAGATTTGGAAGCCTTTGAAAATCCATGTGCTAAGCACCATCCGTTCAGCTGGGAGATATTTTCCTTGTTGTGCTCCAGGCTTCCATGGCCTACTCGGTGGTGCCCCCCCCACCACCACCACCTCTGCTACTCTCTCCCCAGAGATATTAGACTAGCATCCATCCTGTCCAGCTTCCGAAAAGAACTAAACATGTGGATGTTCCACTGTGCCTTCAACTAGATAGCTCCCCAAATAATTCTGGCTCCCAATTCAATCCATAATTAGATCTTGCACATTACCAACGTTCCCTTTTAGAGACATAGTGCTCTCCTTACACTACCTCCCAAGTTCTAATCTTGTCATCTGCCTTTAGCACTTTATCCATCAACCTTATCCTTTGGCAAGTGATTTGCACTAGTCACCCGCCCGAACTTAGACCACTGAAGTTTGTTGGATATTGGCTATATACTGTATTTGTGTGGTTGTTTTTATACTGTTGAAATGTTTTTATGAATTTTGTTGTTATATTTTAACTTATTCACCTGACCTCGCACCATCAGACTTCCACCTCTTTCCAACAATGATGTTATTTTTGAAGGGCAAGCATTTTTCAGATGATGAGACTCTGATTTCCGAAGCCATAATATGGCTTTTGAAGCAACCTGTCAACTTCTACAAGCGAGGTGTTCACAGTTGCTTTAAAAGATGGGAGAAGTGTGTGTTCCTAGGTGGCACCTATGTAGAGAAGAACTAATAACGGCGCCAAGTTTCATTGCTCTCAGTGCACAGGAAGTGGGCCAGGGGAAATCTTTAATGAATGTCCCTCGTATGTGTCAAGAACATTTCCATTAGTACTTTATGCTACCTGCAACAGACAGCATTCATCTAAAAAGAGATTACAGTAACCGAAGGCAATGATTTGCATATGCTGGTTTAACTTCTGCAAAGATTTCTGGATGGCCATTAAGGCTGCATCTACATTGGAGAATGAGTACAGTTTGACACCAATTTAACTGCCATGGCTCAATGCTATGGACTCATAGGAGCTGTAGTTTATGTGCACCAACTCTCTTTAGCACAGAAGGCTAAAGGTTTTGGAAAGCTATGACTCCCATAGTTCCATAGCACTGAGGCTTGACAGTTAAAGCAGTGTCTAAGTGCATTAATTCTACAGTGTAGATGCAGCCTAGCCAAAGCTTGCATGAGTAAAACATCCCAAAATATGAGTGAACAATTTTGGTTAAGGCACTGAAATAGTTATTTACTGCCTTTATTCAATACCATGCCTTCACATTTCAGCCCACCTCTATACACAAATTAACCTCTCTTCACTCAACTCCAAAATGATTTCCTCATATTGGAAGGTGCACCATCTAAGAATTTCCATTTGAATTTTGTTACAAAATCTCCATTAAGTAAATAAACACTTAAGGATTTCAAGTATTACCCTTCTAGTATCAAGAGTTAAAGGAAAATTTAGTTACATCATACTCGAATGTAAGAAAGCAAACATGCAACTATTTTTAAAATCACAGGTAATGTATAATGCTGAGAGAAATATTTTCTCATCGACATAGTGTTTTCAGTCATATGTTGTTTTCTGAGCCCTGCCAAATACATAGCACAAGCAAAGACAGATACTACATTGAAAAGAACTAACTCGTCAGCATGCCGTAAATATTATATTAAAATAAGGAAAGATTCAAATAGTTGATTATGAAAATCCAACATATCCTATAGTCAAAGCAGGGTTGGCAATCATATGACTTCCCTTGGATGTTGTTGAACTTCTACACAGCCGTGGATGAAAAATGTCATAAGTTGCATTTCAGCAACACCCAGAGGGTACATGATTCCTCCCCTTCCTCCCGAGTTAAGAAAGATTGGAGATTATTTTGATGTACAGTTTTAATTTTATCTCTAATATAGTCACCCGGTTACTTTAAGGTATTAACATCAAAAAGTAGTTAAAACAGCAATGCATAGTTATTTTATTTCATCTACATTCCAACTTTCTTCACAGGAAGAGTGGCACTTTCCCTTTACAGGTAGTCTCAAAAGAGTGGACCTGCTCAAAAGCCCCAATGATTATGAAAGATTGCTTCTATTCAGATAAAATGGTAGTGAAATCTTCCTTGGAGGAGTTCGGAGATCATCCAAGCCTAGCACTCTAACTACTAACCACCCTGATTTTTCCTCTATTAATTCTAACCGAGATTCTTTGGAAGATGAGCTGTTTCCTAAAACAAATTTGAATAGTTTCTAACTCTTCAATAACATTTTGATACATTATAATTCAGTAATGTACAAAGTCCTGCTTCATGCAAGACACTGATTACTAGCTTTACCTATCTCCATTTTAAACAAAGAAACACAATCAATACATACAGTCCAGATTCAGAAGTCAGAAATGGAAAGGTTGGGGACAATTCCTCATTTTTCATAAGGTGCTCACATCAAATTAGTTCTATGAAACTGAATGAAATTATTTATCTTTTTCAACTCTTCAATTATATTAAAATGCTATCAGATTTTAGAGAACTTCCAGTGAATAAATCTCTAGAGATGTAATCTGAATTCTTACCTCCTTTTTCTTTCTTTCCTCCTCCTTTCTTTTCTTCTCCTCTCTAATTTGAGCTAAGCGTTGTTTCTTACGTTCCAACTCTGCCTTCAGCTCACTTTTGTCAGACATGATTGCAATTCTGTCAACAAAAAAGTGATTATGTTCCTGCATAAGTGAAGTGAAAAACAGCATGAAATATAGAACCCAATCATATTTCTACCAAAATACCATAAACCTAATCCTTCATTATTTCTGCACACAATTTGTACACTAATACCTTACTAGAGTATCTATCCATTTTAAATCCTATGGCGCCTTCCTGCAGAATTCTGGGGTTTGTAGTTTAGGGAAGGGCATTTAAACTGTTCAGACAGAAAGGTCCTAGGCCTCACTAAACTACAAACCCCAGAATTCTGCAGAAGGCTGCCACAGGATGTAAAAGGGGTTGATAATTGTGATGAGGGATGACTGCAGAACTTCTGCTACAAATGTTAAAATGTATATTTTTCTATTTAGATGGTATATTTGCTCTCAATAGAGACACAGAAGTATCTGAGCACACTGCTGTATCAACACACTTCTAAATATAGCTCATAAGAGATAGAGAGAAAAAGTGTAAACTGTATACTACAAATACAGGTTAGAGTAGAACCAGGAAGGCTTGCCAGTAAGACCTTCCAGAAAACCTACTTGCCAGTAAGACCTTCCAGAAAACCATATAAAGCTATATGTTAAAAGTAGGTGCAGATATAAAGGGAATTAAAAATGGAGTCTAATTTTAAAGGCAGTGAAATTATTACATCATACTGCTGTACATATACAAGAGTGACTCCTACTTCAGTAAGTCAACATCTAATTAGCTTCTTTAATGGGTTAGAGAAAAGTCAAGGAATAAATGAATGGCTATTCAGAAGAGGAGGGAGGACTGTGTTCTGGTGCATGCTAGAATTTTAAGCAATTTTTGAAACTAATGTTATGTCAACCCTTCCTTGTTAGTAGTTTTTAATGGCAAAACTTAATATCTTCAATTGAAATGTTTCTTTCATGTTTTCAAGTCTTGCCATTCCAACCCACAACAAACTGCCACACATGCTTGGAAAAATACTATTCATTCTACTTTTTTTCAAAAATGAGTTTTATTTCTAGTCAAGAAGAAATAACTACCACCCTTGCATGCCAATCTTGCACCACTGGACAAGTATGTGTATAATAATCTCAATGGGAATTACATTTAACATTACGTGAGATCAGGATGTTAGATACAAGAAGCTTTAACTGAGTCAACATTATTAAATGATAACGTTACACCCAGTGATGTAGATTTCAGTTCAAAGTTTAAAATGTCTGTGAGAGTCACAAGGCCTGTGTATATGCCTAATTTGTTTTTTATGAAGATCAACAGAACAATGACTTTCATTCAGACTTTTGGACTAATAGCAAATTTAATATAGATTATCACACATATATTTACTTCATTAGATACAGGAGTGTGTAAAAAGGATGTGAAGGGGAATGCAAACATTTTATTTAGTATGAATGTCTGTTATCCTCAGTTTCTTGAAAACTGAAATCAAAATCAAAATGAATTTAGATCTATTATTTGTGGGTTTGATCTATGGTTTTGCTCAGCTCGATTTCTGTCTGAAAATGAAGCTCATTTGCCCAGTCATCTTGACTTGAGTCTTCCAGGTGTTTCAAACTTCCTCTCACAGTATTCCTGTTAGCCAAGCTGGCTGTGGCTTCTGGGAGTTGAAGGGCTCAAAAGGGCTTTGTTTGTTCTGTTGTGTGACATCAAGGTGTTACTGTTTATGGTGGTTTTCTTGGGCTGACTTACCTGAGATCACTAGGCAGTGGTTCCCAAACTCTCATCCTCCAGTTGTTTTGGAGAGAGTTTGGGAACCACTGCCTAGTGATCTCAGGTAAGTCAGCCCAAGAAAACCACCATAACCAGTAACACCTTGATGTCACACAACAGAACAAACAAAGCCCTTTTGAGTCCCAATCTGGCAGAAAGTCAAGACAGAATGATGATGTTGTTTTTACTGCTTTTGCGATGTTTTATACTGTTTAATGTTTTTATCTATATTATGTTTGATGTATACTGATTGGTTAGGAACCGCCTTGAGTCGCTGATTGGCTGAGAAAGGTGGTATACAAATACAGTCAACAAACAAACAAACAAACAAACAAATAGAAATAAATATTGTCTTCAAAGAGGGCAAAAGATGTGAAAACTATGCCTTATGAGGAGTGGTTTAGGGAGATGAATACATGGGAATTGAGACACTGTAGCCATGTTTACATACTTGAAAGGATATCATATTGAGGAGTAGGCAAGGATAAGGAGACTAGGATGAGGAATAATAGATTCAAATTATAAAACAGGCATGGGCAAACTTCGGCCCTCCTGGTGTTTTGGCTTTAGGAATTGTGGGAGCTGAAGTCCAAAACGGATCTCCCTCTACGTCCCACTTCGGAGTCTAAGATCCTCTGGGGAGGCCCTGCGCTCGACTCCGCCTCTATCACAAGTGAGATTGGTGGGGACAAGGAGCAGGGCCTTCTCGGTGGTGGCCCCTCACCTGTGGAATTCACTCCCCGGGGAAATTAGATCAGCGACATCCCTCCTTTCCTTTAGGAAAAAATTGAAAACTTGGATTTGGGGCCAGGCATTTGGACAATGTGGCAGATAAAGAAAGGACTTTGACAATGGACAGGAATTGTCTAAGTGGAATGGAATTATGGAACTCTGAAAGATGAACGCTGAGTATGAGATTAGTTTTATTGATTGTGTTATGTACCGATTGTTTTTAACTGTGATAATTGTTTTAACTGCTGTTTTGTACGTATGTGTATTTTGTGTAGGCATCGAATTGTGCCTTTTTGTAAGCCACCCTGAGTCCCCCACCCGGGGGTTGAGAAGGGTGGGGTAGAAGTACTCAAAATAAATAAAATAAATAAATAAATAAATAAATATATGAGACCCAACCTAATCATGAGGGAGAACTTTCTAGCAGTTAGAGCTGTTCGACAGTAGAAGAGACTGACTCAGTATGTGGTGGTAGTCTTCTTCTCTGGAGATTTTTAAGCAGAGGATGGATGGCCATCTGTCAGGGGCGCTTTGATTGTGTGTGTTCCTACACAGCATGGGGCTGGGTGGCCTATAGGGTCCTTTCCAACTTCATGATGATGATGACAACCACCATCATTTCCTTAGCAGCCTGGGAGCCTATTGTCCGCGGGTCCTATGAGACCACCACTGAGGAAGGGCCAAAAAGCTAGGCCCACAGATGCTTCTCCTGAAAAGGAAGCAGGACCCCCAGCGCGCGCCGGGCGTTGCCCGCACAGAAGCCCCGCCCTCTCTTCTCGTGCGCGAGCTGACTCCGCCCACAACGGTTCTCTCTCAACCCCCCCTCCCCTCCCCCCTCCCCCATTGAAGCCTTCCTCTCAGAGGAAGGAAGGCGGAAGCGGGTGTGGCTCTAAGGCTCCGCTTTTTGGTCCACTTACCTGTCACTGAGGGTCTCGTCTGTGTCAACTCCGCCGCCACTGCCGCCACAGCCCAAGCCGCCTCTACACAAAAGCGACACTGGGACCACGAACGGTGAAGGCGAGCCCACCAGAGACAGCTCAGCCTCGCCTGACTAAACGCGCATGCGCGGAAACGCTGACCCGCGGCGGCGGAACTAGAAGCCGGGCGTCGCTGCGTGCGAGGAGCGGACGGCGCATGCGCACGGAGAGAAAGTGGCGCCGGGCTGAGGCAAGGCCTGGGGTTTGGGGTGTGCGTAGCCCTCGGGTTATCCGTGGATAGGCAACTTTCGTTGGCGTTTTGGGTGTCCATAAGCCAATGGCTACCTTTTTGTGCCCCAAAATAGGGCTGAGGAAGGGGGGGAAATAGGGCCAGGCTTGGTTATTCTCGCTTCCGGCTCCAAGAGGGCTTGCGAGACTACCCTTCCTAGCAGGCCTTGAGCCAAGCCCAAGCCCCGCCCACCCCGAGCCGGCTGTCAACAGCCTGGCAGAAGCTGTCACGTGGCAGGCCCCACGGGAAGGAGGGAGCCCAGTAAACGAAGCTGGTTCCAGAATTTGCTACTTAATCATCTAAACATTGAAACCATTTGCTTCAATACCAGTTTGGAACTGCATTAAACGGTCAGTGTAGATGGCCCCTTAATCACCTTGGGTCCCACTAATGGGAAAAAGCAGGATATAAATTAATAATAATAATAATAATAATAATAATAATTTACCATCTGCCAGCTGCAGAAGGCCACCTTACTGGGATCTGCACGCATTATTCGCCGATACATCACACAGTCCTAGACACTTGGGAAGTGTCCGACGGGTGATCCAATTCAACAGCCAGCAGAGTGTCTGCTGTGGACTCATCTTGTTGTGTTTCAAATAATAATAATAATAATAATAATAATAATAATAATGTACTACCAACAGCTCAAGGAATAATAATAATCATGGATCATATCCTCAGTTGTTGCAAGAAAATCGCACAGACGGACTACAAACAAAGGGACAACTCTGTGGCCCAAATGATTCACTGGAACTTATGTCACAAGTACTACCTGCCAGCAGTAAAGAATTGGTGGGATCATAAACCGGCAAAGGTCATGGAAAATGAACATGCAAAAATACTGTGGGACTTTCGAATCCAGACTGACAAAGTTTTGGAACACAATACACCAGACATCATGATTGTGGAAAAGAAAAAAAGTCTGGATTATTGATGTCGCCATACCAGGTGACAGTCGCATTGAGGAAAAACAACAGGAAAAACTCAGCCGCTATCAAGACCTCAAAATCGAATTGCAAAGGCTCTGGCATAAACCAGTACAGGTGGTCCCAGTGGTCATTGGCACACTGGGTGCCATGCCAAAAGATCTCAGCGGCATTTGGAAACAATAAACATTGACAAAATCATCATCTGTCAACTGCAAAAGGCCACCTTACTTGGATCTGCGTGCATCATTCGAAAATACATCACACAGTCCTAGACGCTTGGGAAGTGTTCGACTTGTGATTTTGTGATACGAAATCCAGCATATAGATCTCGTTTGCTGTGACATACTGTGCTTTTGTGTCAATAATAATAATAGAGATAATAATAATAAGTGCCTAAAGACCTTGGCCTGCACTTAAACACAATCGGTACTGACAAAATTACCATCTGCCAGCTGCAGAAGGCCACCTTACGCATTATTCGCTGATACATCACAGTCCTAGACACTTGGGAAGTGTCCGCCATGTGATTCAATACAATAGGTAGCAGAGTGTCTGATGTGGACTCATCTTGTTGTGTTTCAAATAATAATATCAGAACACTAGGCGTAGAGCCTAAAGACCTTGGCCAGCACTTGAAAACAATTGGCACTGATAAAATTACCATCTGTCGACTGCAAAAGGTCACTCTACTCAGATCTGCACGTATTATTCACCGATACATCATGTTCCACTGTGCCTTCAACTAGACAATTCCTCAGGTAGCTGGCCCCAGCTAGAACCCAAAAATCTTGTCCTCGCACTTTACTACCCAAATACAGTATTGACCTATTTTACATTGCTCTTATTCGTGGTCCTGTTATATGACCTCTGCACTTTACCCACTAGCTCAATCCTTTAAATTGTTGTTACACCAGTCCTCCCACACGTGACGAGAAATTGAACTTCGTTATTAGTTGTTGGTTTTTATAGTTATTTTATATATTGTTATAATATTGTTTTATTTTATTTTATACGGTTTTATTTATTTATTTATTTCAAATTTTTGTATCCCATTCTTTACCTCCGTGGAGGGACTCAGAATGGCTAACAGCAAAATTCAGTGCTATACAATAAATAATGTCATAAAACAACATACAATAAATAAGTTCTAAAATACAATTCAACACATTTAAAACAACATCTAACTCAGTCCAAAATGTTATGGCCAAATAACTCTTAGTCTATATCGAATCATCCGTCAATCAGCAAATGTCTGACTCCAAAGACAGGAGTTTAGCTGCTTCCCGAAGGACAGGAGAGAGGAGGCAGACCTAATCTCGCTGGAGAGAGAGTTCCATAGCCAGGGGGCCACCACAGAGAAGGCCCTGTTTTATGCAGCTTTGTGTTACTTTTTAACTGTGTTGATTGGGGTTGACCCCATGTAAGCCATCTTGAATCTCTTTGGGGAGATGGAAGATGGGGAGATGGAAGCAGGGTACAAAAATAAAGTGATTATTATTATTATTACTACTACTACTATTATTATTATTATTATTATCACTATCACACAGTCCTAGACACTTGGGAAGTGCTTGACATGTGATCCAATACAAAAGCCAGCATAGTGATCCTGTTTGCTGTGTACTAATCTTGCTGTATATCAAATAATAATGATAATAACAACAACACTCCCCATTCTTATGGTTAAAGCCCACAAGTGCTGATATCTATCAACACCAGTTGCGGCCCACAGCTTTTCTACTCTGTTGCAGGCTAACCAACTCACTCCACATTGCAGTGGGTAGTTGTGGTCTTCTGAATTATTTTGGACTATAATTTTCATGATCCCTCAGCACTAAGTAGCCTAATGGGAATTATAGCATCTCCTCCACAAAACCTTTGTGGCATATCCTACTCTATATCTGGACATTCACAAATCTTGGTAAGACTGCGGCTTTTTAAATTTAATTTTTGAAAATAATCTTATAAACATCTGTGTATTTGCATCCTTAGTTTCCTCAAGCATGAAAAAGCAACAAGTTTAATTTTAAAACAGGCCTGTTTTGTTTCCCAAGTGATATTAGACACCCATTATTATGAAACTGGAATTCGGGGCCATCTTATATTTCCCCTAAAGATAAAGGTTTCCCCTTGACATTACGTCCAGTTGTGTCTGACTCTGGGGGTGGTGCTCATCTCCATTTCTAAGCCGACGACACGGCATTGTCCAAATACGCCTCCAAGGTCACGTGGCCAGCATGGCTGCATGGAGCGCCAATATATGTCTCCTACAGTTACCTTAATACACAACACCTTGTGAGACTGGGGTTTTCTCATATATAAATAATTGTTTCAATTCATTTTATTTCAAAGAGCAAGATCATATCCCAAAATGGTCTCTGGTAGGCATTCCATACAGAAGGTTTATGACCTAAGATTGTGATAAACTGAGCATCTTGGCAAGTGCCTGGAATGCCGGTAACTTCATTCTCTCCATTCCCTTTCTTTCAGCAAAACTAAAAGTATCAGTTTTTTTTAAACAGCTTTTGAGTGTCTCAAGAGATGAGTTGGGATAGTGTATATCAACAATAGAAGTCACTCTTTCTTAGATTATATTGTTAGTGTTTATGAAGAAACTGCTGACTCTCTTTGTGTTGTTATATTAACAAACAGCCCAGTCCACAAATCTGACATCAAGATACACAACAGATTTGATAGCAAGATATATAAAGGCATTATCAGGATAAATGTATGCTTTTGCTGGTGAGACTGCAACCTGACAGTAGTCCCAATGTCATTTATTCAAGTATCCTTCATACCTTTCTCTCTCTTTGGTACCTTGAGCAATTTTACTGGCCATTTAGTGACTTTCTTTTCCCATCCTTAGTAGTAGTTTGATTTTCAGTTTAATGTATTTCCTCCTGGCCCCAAATATTGGGAGTATTCAGATTACATGTTCTTAACTAATTAGATCAGATGTGGATAAAGTATTCTGCATCTGTTTTCAAGCAGTAATTCATTCTGCACATCTTTTTTGTTGAGCCACTGTCTATCTCTCCAAATCCCACTAAATCCAGGCTGCAGGCATTGTTTTCAAGGATCCAAAGAAGAGCATTAACTGATAGCAACCCTCCTCTTATAAGGTAAAAGTTGTACTTTTCTAGCATTGTTATTATTGTTCTGGTCCTTGCTTTTCCTTTTATATTTGATACTCTGTTAATACATTTTCTCCATTATTCCCTTTGCTTGATACACATTTCCTTCTTTAGTGTCAAAATAAGGTGAATGTGAATTATGAGTCCCTCCTGAGATGAGTACTCCTGCAATCTGGTAACCTTTGCCACCAAAAACATATACTCATGAATGGGCAAGCACTTAAGAGTGAATCACTGCTGAACATTATAGAAAATAGACCCATAGGTTCAAAAATACAAGACAAGTTCCCCTTTCCTCGGCTTGGTCTAGTAAGTGCAGTACTCTAATTTTCTTCCTATTATGTGGTTAAGATGAGAGAAAATGAAAGCTTCTTAAAAGGACCCCCACACCTTTACTGCTGCAATGGTTTCTAAAAGCAAAAACAAAAACACCAAAAAGATCTGCAAAAGGGAGCCATTTTAAGATATAATGTGGATGACTAGATATTATATTTTTCTCTTATTCTGTATCTTTGTCATTAGTTCACATGGAGGGAGAGTACCAGCAAGGAAGAAGGTGAATATGAGATTGCTCTGATAATAATAACAATAATAACAGTCGCAGTGTTATTGTTTCATCCATAACACAATAGCTCCTTTTCATTTTATTAAAGGGAACTAGTTAAAATTGTCTATTTCTTCTTATATAGAAAGAAAAAGAGGACGAAATCTTATTTCCAACTTCCTTTGCAAACTGAAAGATTATTTAAATTATATTATTTAGGAAATCTGAATTGAACTGGAATAAAGAGGTGCTCCCTGTTTTAACAGT